GAGGAACATCCATACTGGTTTCCATGAAACCTGTACCAATTTACACCCCCACCAAAAGTGCACATAGGTTCACTTTTCTCCAGATCCTAACACTGATTTGTCTTTTTGATAACAGCCATGCTAATAAGTGTGAAGTGATACATTATTGTAGTTTTTGATTTGCATTTCCCTGGTGCTTAGTAATGTGAAGCATCTTTTATGTACCTGTTTGCCATCTGTATGTCTTATTTGGAAAAATGTATTTACAGATCTTCTGGTCATTTTTAAATTTCAACTTTTTATATTTGAGTTATGATTTGCAAATATCTTCTCCCATTCATTTTGTCCATGATTTCCTTTCTTTTGCTTGTGCAGAGGCTTTTTAGTCTGATGAGGTCTCGTTTACTCTGGCTTTTGTTGCTTTTGCTTGTGGTGTCAAATCCGAAAAACCATCACCAAGTCCAATGGCAAGGAGCATACTGCCTTAGGTTTCCTTCGAGTTTTATCGTTTCAATTCTGACATTTGAGTCTTTACTCCATTATGAGTTAATTTTTGAACATGGTGTAAGATAGCTATCCCATTTTATTCTTTTAAATGTGGCTGTCCTGTTTTCTCACTTAACGAAGAGACTCTTTTCCCTATTTATTCTGGGCCCTTCTGTCATAAATTAATGAATCATACGTGCACAGGTTTATTTTGGGGTTCTCTGTCCTATTCCATGCATCTGTGTTTGTTTTTATGCCAGTACCACACTGCTGTAATCACCATACCTTTGTAGTATAGTCTGAAATCAGGAAGCATGAAACTGGCCTCCAGCTTTGTTCTTTCTTGAAATTGCTTTGGCTATTCAGGGTATTCTGTGGTTCCATACGTATTTTAGGATTGTCTATTTCTGTGAAAAATGCCACTGGAATTTTGGTCAGGATTATACTGAATCTGAAGATTGTCTGCTTACTTACTGTTGAGTTTTAACAGCTTTTTGTATGTTGGGTAACAGTCCTTTAATTAGAGGTGTCTTCTCCAAGTATTTTCTCCCAGTATGCGGGTCTTCTTCTCTTGACAGTCTTTTGCAGAACAGATGTTAATTTTAATCAAGTTCAGCTTATCAGTTACTTGTTTCAAGGATGGTGGTATTGGTGTTATGCTTTATAGACTGTTATCATCTAGGTCTGTTTAACAGTTTCCCTTTTTATGTTTAGGTCTGTGGTCCAATTTGAGTTAGTCTTTGTGAAGTGTGTAAGGTTTGCGTCTAGATTCCCTCTTCTTGCATATGGATGTCCAGTTGCTCAAGCGCGCCCGTTGGAGCCCGTCTCTTCTCCACTGTTTTGCCCTTGCTGGTCAACTGTTTGTGTGGGTTGTTTCTGGGTGCTATATTCTGTTCCCCTGACCTGTCTGTCTATTCTTATTTCAATGCCAGACTGTCTTGATTAGCTTTATGCCAACTGTTTCTCTCAGGAGTTAAAAACAAAGTAAAGTTATTTAACACCTTTACAGACAATCCTAGTTTTACTCATTCAAAATACTTCATTTAACGTCATCCTTCACCCCTGCAAAATTCTGTTTAGAATTTTCTTGGGCCCAGACTGCGAACGCACCTTCAGACTTAACCCCACACCCTCTGTACACACTGCAAACCCAGCCTAGGTTGCCTGCTGTCCTCACACTGCCTTGCTGAGCTTCCGAGTGAGTGTTCATTTGGAGTTCTGAGATGCAGCAGACGTGCCACTGCTTCCTCTGGAAAAGAACATGGTAACAGGAAAGTCTTGTGCTTACTTTGTTTTGTGGCTGATGGGGACATTTAGGCTTCCTATAATATAAAGTTGTCCAAGGTTCTGTTTTGCTATCATGACTGCCCTGTGTGCTTTTCTGGAGTACTTGAGAAATATTCAAACTATTATCTTCCCAGAGTTAAGTTTTGAGTGTAGGAGCAGGGAACGGCATCTCCTTCAGGAGCTATGCTTATCTCCAAGCCCTTTCCTTTACTGATCTTCAGCACAGGAACCTTTCTGTCTCAGCCTCATAGCAGGTTATGAAGGCTGTTCCAGCTCTGGTTGATAACTGATAGTTGGTGTGGTTTTGAAGTAAATACAGTCCATTTGGACAATAGTGCACTTTTTTCTTCACGGTGAGCTCTGTCAAAGAGAGAACCCTGTACCATAAAAATGATTCCTCCGAGCTAAAAAGGCTGGACTGTTATTTTTAAGGCAAGAAAGGGTCAGTTAGTGAAATGATTTTTAGTTAGTTTCAAAGCATCTTTATTTGTCTCCTGGGTAAACTGCAAAATTTCCAAGACTGTCAGTTTGACACTGTCATTTGGATGAGAGAAATCTTAGACACATTGTATCCTCTGAAACTTATAAAAAAAAATCATAGAAGGAGATAATATACCTACCTTATACATTTTAAGGATCAATGAGATAGCAAATGACTTAAGTGGAAGAGCCTGGTTAACTATGAAGTTGTATACGACGTGCACGTGCTTATTTCTTTACCACAGTTCAGATTCTAACATATGTATCACACCGAGAGCAAAGCAGCCAGGAATGGAGCAGGTGGCTGTCTGATCTTCACATTCCCAGCACCTTATATACAGTTTAGCACACAGCAACTCTGTAGTACACGATTCCTGCCTGACGTGTTTCTGGGCCGTGCTGGGTCTTCGTTGCGGCACGCAGGCTCTTCACTGCAGCGTGCTGGCTTCTCTAGTGATAGTGTGAGGGCTCGCCACTTGACCACAGCATGCTGGATCTTAGTTCCCCAACCAGGTACTGAACTTGGGTCCTCTGCACTGGAAGGTAGATTCTTACCCACTGGACCACCAGAGAAGTCCCCCTTATTGCCTGATCTTAGTCATAAAATGGTGAAGGAAGATCAATCTGTGTTCCTGGCCCCATTATGGGCAACGCAACTCCACCAAGAGCACACTCCCCTGAATGTGGGTCCATCTTGCTCCCTTTAAGGATAGCTTCAGGAAAACTAAGCAAGGCAGTGTCACAGAATCGGACAAAGGAGTTCTCAACTTATGATTATTATGGTTAAGAATTTTATTATCAAAATTATTACATCTCTTGTGAAAGTTCAAATGTTACAGCAAGGTGTAAACACTCCACTTGAGAAAGAAGTGATACTTCTTCCCTTCCAAGAGCCCCCCCACCCCCCGCCCCCCCGAGGTCTGGTCTTGACAGCACCCTGCCCACACAGAGGGGCTGGGGTCTCTGCGCGTGCCAGGCAGGGTGAGGGCCGCCTGCCCGCTGGCCTCCCCCCCGGCGCGCGGCCGCGGGGAGAATGCGAACCCCAGCCCAATGGAGAGACATTTACATACGTTTTATATAATATACAAAGAAACCAGCATCCCAGGCAACATGATTTCCACTCCCAACGCTCTCCCAGACTGATGGGTTTGTGGGGGAAACAACATAAAGAAAAGTATTCTGCTGACTTTTCAGCATTAAAAAAAAAATCTCCCCTCATTTGAGCAAACACCTGATTTGAATTTTGAAAAAGTGAAATTCTGTAACAGTCACACACAAAGAGAGAAGACTGTGCATATGATAGTTGGAGAAGAGGGTACAAAGAAAGGGGGTGCAAGAGGCTGAGGGAAAAAAGGAGAAAACAAACTGGAGGGGAGGAAGGAGGGAGACTCACAGTATTATCTTGTCCAAAAGAAAGAAGTAAGGTCCACTGCAGCACCAGGGATTACACCTGTCAGATATTTGCTACCCCTACCATGGTTATAACTGAATACAAAAATTAGATAAATAAAAACACGCCAGATATTACAGTAAACAGTGAAAGAAATAAGCTGGCAACCGTATGGAATTTAAAAAGATTGTGTACCCCGCCTGGCCGGCTCCACGGCGCCTCCAGGGGCATACAACAGGCACAATGCACTGAGGGGAGAAGCCAGTCTGCGCTCATCTCTCATCCAGAACAGCTGTCATCAGGCGTGTGGGCGGCCTCACAGCACTCTCACCTGGGCCACTCTCAAATAAGCATCTCCCAAAGAAACGTGGGACATGCCCACACACAATCACAGTCCTGTCGGTGCCATTCCACAATCAAAGCTTTCCACTCTTACCCTGCAGTCACGAGTGCATGCTCTCCAATCATGGAGGCGGTCCTACTCAGGGGATCGGCAACTCCTGATTAACTGGGAGTAGAAAAAATAAAAATTCAAAGAACTCCAAAACTACTTGGGACTCTTCCTAATCAAATGCATTGCCAATGGCTGGTAAGTAGCAATGCAATTGGCCCATCTCTCTTTTCTTTGCCTACTTACTTCATGGGTTACTGAGCTGTGAAATATTCTGGGGAAGGGGAGTGGGTTGGTACCAGCTGGGGGCTCAGACAATCTACTAGGATAACCTGCTTCTGAATAATCAAGAACTGACCACGAGTACTTTTTCAGAGATCCAGGAACCCCTCAGAGCACACACCAAGCTTCACTATCCCTGCCTCTTGGTGTTTTTAAGACAAAGGTAAGGAATATTCTCAATGAACACACCTTGGCCAGATACCTGCTTTTGGAATGGTTGTTTTATATACCCACCTTTTTTTCTTAAGTGCATAAAACCCTAACACTACTCAGATGGCTTGGGGCTTTGAGATTGGCTCTTTTCACCTTTTTTTTCCTTTGAAAACCTTTTTCTTTTTTGGATTTAAAAAGATGTCCTCACTGCACAAGTGACTACAGGCTACAGGCAAGGATGGGAGATGGAGGCTTCAACACAACTCATTGCACTTAGAATCGTTACTAACCGAAACACCATTTGCTTGTCAACAATGTACCCTTAACAGCAGGGAGAAACTTCTTTATAGTCTCTGCTTCAGACAAGATTTACATCTTTCTCCAAGGCCAGAGCCAGTCGTGACCACAAGTCTTGTTTCTTGTCGACCAGACCCAATCCTCTGGCACCTTGTACCCCCTTCCCCAGCAATATGCTCGGCCTAGGTTCCAGAGGCAGCTGGAAGGAAGCAGCTATGGGCTCATTCAAGTTCTGTTTGCCCAAATCCAGAAGCCCTAGGAAAGTCCTGTCTGAGTCTTGACCCCCGACCCCTGCAGTGGCTGGAGTCGGTACTGGTGCACACCCCCACTCCCTCGATGTGGGTAGTGCTGTGAATTGGAAACCGCAGATACCCTGGAGGCCTGGTAGGCAGCTGACTGCCCAGCACTGGGCAGACTGATAGTCCGGAAGTCTGATGACAGTGACGACCTAGAGTTCTGAGGAAAGGAGGTGGAACTCAGAGTTCCTGTGCTGGACTGGGCAACCGAGTCTGAGGTCGGCGAGTCTGAGGGGCCCTGTGGGGTAGGGCTAGCAGCACTAGAAGGGCAGCTCCTCCGAGGAAGACTGCTGCCGGTGCTGTTTCCAGAATGTGGCTGGCTGCTATAATACCCTGGTGTCCCCGTAAATGGGGCCAACGAGTCTGTGGACACAGGGTGGGCGGGGCTGGAATAGGACGTGGAAGAGAGGGAGGATTCTGAAGAACCATGAGAAGGGGGGTTCCCAGGTCTCAGTGCAGTAGTTCGATAACTGTATCCCGGAGACTGGGTGGGATGTCCTCTAAAGGGGGAGGAACTCTGTTGAAGGAGGCTTTGTGATTCTGTCCGTGGACTATCACACTGCAGGAGCTAGAAAGAGTTGGGAGGAAAAGCATAAGGAGGTGAAAAAGTCCCTATTTAAGCCTTCGAGGCTTGTGAATATTTAAAAGACCCTACTTTTTCTTCTTCTTCTTCATCTTCTTAAACATTTGTTCTTTTTAGGATACCAGAGACAGTAAAATGGCTGTCTTTGGTCACTTCAATTTTCTGGCATGATTTATTACCTGAAGGTGAGCCGATGATGACTTATTTCCAAGGCTGCTGAAACTATATGCAAAGACAACATCTCAACTGCAAAGGACGACCAGGATCACAAAACATTTGGAACCCAGAACACACTCCTATGCCCAGAGATGAGCACTTTCTTGCCTCACCTGGTAGCTGTATCTGGAAGGGCTGTAAACGGCCGCTCCTTTAGAGAGTGTTGAGCTCAATGTCTCTGGGCCTTCACCATCTGCAGGGTCTGGAAAGTAATACAAAATCAACTCACTAAGAATGGATGAGAGCGAGCCATTGTTCATTCAAGTCACCAATGCCAGCACCAACCCATGCTGCTCTCTGATAAATCAGGTGAGTGCAACATGCCAGAAGGGCAAAATGAGTGGTTAATTATGGGCTCTTTTAAATGCCTGATCTGATTTGTCTCCTTCTTTCTCTTCATCCTTCATCAAGGTGATTCCCAGGGCTTTGGAGAGATGAGTTACAGAAAGGTATCCTTTGGGAAAAAAGAGCAGACAGAGAGCAAGCAACGCTAGACCTTAAGAATGCTATAGCCCAAGAAAATGAAAGCAAGACTGAGCTGGACCTTTGCATAAGGGAGCCCAACCTCATTAAGAAATGGACTCACCTCAGCCCAGCATTTGGTGTGAACTGTGTGGAACCTGGCTCATGTGTCCCTGAACCTGGCTGGCAGAAGAAGGCCATCGGCTCACCTGAGTCTTTCTCTGTGATGTTACTCTCCCACGTGGGAGAAGGCTCTCCTTTTTGGGCCACCCTCACACTGCTTCGGAGGACCTTGGGGATGCTCCCTCCTTCTCGGAGTCGTTCTACCGATGTGGGAACCATCCTGTGAAGGCAACAGGGTGTACACTTATGCCACAGGCCTTGAGAGTTAAGAGTATGGAACAAACAAGGCTCTGACAAATAGCTATACAATGTTTCTTAAAACATCCTCTTTTAAAACATTCTTTTCTTCAGAACCAACTTAAAACAAAGTATTTTCTCTGCCTCAGACTATGTCAGGCACCTAAGAATAAACACTTTAAGAAAAAACAACCAAGGAGAAGGGGGATTTAGACGTGTCTACTGCTTTTAACCTCCATCTTTAAATGCTATTTTTCTCTTCTGTGAAATCATGTGACTGGCAGGTTAGTAGTAATGTTTCACAGATGAATGAACATTACTCGTTTCAGCCATGTCTCTTCTTTCCCAGAACTCATTTCTTCAGTTCAATTTCCCTAGAATATCTCATTCTTTATTTCACTCATCTGATACTTAGTACCTGACATTAGTATTATCTATTTATTTGTTGTCTCTCTCTTTTTTTGTTGTCTCTCTTAAACTAGACAAATCCTTTCAGGAGTGTGTCCCAACTCTCTATATATGCTAGCCATGTGGAGCTGAGACACCTGATGTTAATTTCAGTGGAACTGAGCTCATCTCCTGACTTACCTTGCACACGAAATGAGAAAAGAGAAGAGGCAGTGTTAGTGCCCAGTGAATAAAATAACTCTTCTGTTTCCACAACTATATGCCGTCCACCATATTGTTCTGCAGGCTCGGTGGCAATCGTTTGCTTCTGTCAAGCTCGGGGATTGTGACTGATACTATTAAATCAGCCGAATATGGTACATGGTACTGCTGGCTGGCTTTCTCAAGTGTTTCCATACATCTTAGGTAAAGAGTCTAGAAATTTATTTCCCTCCTGAATTTAATCATCAGAGCATCAAACTTAAACTTACCACCTACTGCTGATACTCTCTTGAGGTCTGCAGTGAGACGAAGTGCCTCTGGAATCTGATGGGCTTACCGCCTCCAGATGAGACATAGAGGAATGAGACGGGGAGAATTTTTTGTGAGGGGAAGATGGGGTTCGGGCTGAGGATCCCTGCACACCATGGGCACCAGTGTCAGAAAGTGAGTTACTGCCGCCTTGCCCAGTTCCTGCAGACTTGCTTTTGCTCTGTGTGGAGTCACCTCCCCCACCAGCAGAATTTTCCTTGGCTTCTTGTTTCCGTTTGCGGTACTCCAGCAGGGATACCTAGGAAGGAAAAAAGAAACAGGACTCCAGATAGACATCATTTGTGGATCACTAGCAACGGGGAAAGAACATGGAACCCCAGGAAACTGCCAGCAGGCCAGGCAAACAAAGCAGGTGACTTTTTCCAGGTGAGAGAGAGACCTGAGCACAGCTACATATTTACCTCAGTGGGGCACTGGTAAGAAAAAGAGAATACACCAGGAGATGACATTTCTGAAAAATGGCATTTACCAATAGACCTCAATCTTTATTCTGCCTTCAGAAAAACCTGTGAGATCACAGTTCCATGTAACAGAAGTGTGCTATCACAGTTATTTGCAACAAAGGTAGCACCGGGAAAGGTGGGGTACCCCTGGTGGTCCAGTGGGAAAGACGCTGCGCTTCCAAGGCAGGGGCACAGGTTCAGCCCCTGGTTGGGGAACTAAGATACCAAATGCTGCGTGGCATGGCCAGAAACAAACAAGAGTACATGAAAAGGGAAGGGTAAGAGCTGGGAGTTTGTGCAGTGTGAGAAAGTCTCTTCCTCAGTCCCCAGAAATCAGTATCGTTGTGCCAGCTCTAGAAAACCTGCAGCTGGAGACTTCTCCCCAACTTGCCATTTCTCTGCCTTATTCTTTCCTGACTGCACACCGAAAGCCCTCTTCCCTGCCCCACCTAGCATATGCCCTTTTGGCTGTCACAGCACACTGTGCTAACACTGGCTTTCGACCTAACACAGTGTTTTGTATACTTATAAACTGTCATGTTCTGCAAGGGCACAGAACAAATTTATTTGGCTTTTTGTCTTTAGTGTACAGCACAGAACTTGCCTGATAGCAGGTGCTCAACAATATTTCTGAAATAACAGATCATGATTTCAATCATTTTTGTACATAATAAATGAAACCAGAAATCCAAAGACTTGTTACCATTTTTGTTCCTGCTGGTCAATACTGTTCGTGCAAGAGTAATCTTTTTTTAAAAAAATGTTTTATTTTATATTGGAGTATAGCTGATTAACAATGCTGTGACAGTTTCAGGTGCACAAAAGAGTGACTCAGCCATACATATACATGTATCCATTCTCCCCCGAAATCCCCCTCCCATCCAGGCTGCCACATTACATTGAGCAGTGTTCCCTGTGCTATATAGTCGGACCTTGTTGGTTACTCATGTTAAATACAGCAGTGTGGACATGTCGATCCCAACCTCTCTAACTGTCCCCCTTCCCCTGCAGCAACCGTAAGTTTGTTTTCTAAATCTGTGAGTCTCATGCAACAGTATTCTAAACCTAATGCTAATTTTTTTTTGGTGGGGGGTGGGGGCAGGGTGGCCGTGCCTCCTGGCATGCAGGATCTTAGTTTCCCGACTGGGGACCCAACCCAAGCTCCCTGCAGTGGAAGCTCAGTATCTTAACCACTAGACTGCCAAGGAAGTCCCCCTAATGCTATTTTATTACAAATTATCTGCCAGTGTTTCCTCCTTTTAATCACTTAGGGCTCTCAATTTTCTGTTCAAATATAAAATATAACAAAAATACAACGTAAGACCATTTTGTGTATGCAATTTATATACACAATCATGGAAACGAGTTAGTGTAAGAATTCTGGTAATGTATTTCTTTGCAATGCAAAGATAAAAAGCCACCAGCCTACATGTGAACAAGAGTACCATAGATACTTTGCAATTATGAGAGACTGTCATACACAGAGGACATTTAAGCATCTCTAGATTGACCAGTAATGGAAGTTGATTGGATAGCTCAAAATACTCCCGTGCATTTCCAAATAAACCTAGTTGAAAATCACTGACATAAAATGCAGATTTTTGGCTTCATAATTTCTAGAACAGGCATCACCTACAAGTCAAGCCCCAAACCAGATTTCTGGGACCTGGCCCTGCCCACCTCTATTCTCCTTACTTCGCACCTGCTACCACAGCAACATTAAACTGCAATCATATCACATCCCTGCTGCCCACTCAATGGAGTGTCACAGCTACTTGGTCTGCTCTGTTCTGTAGCATCTTCATCCCTCAGTATGTTGACTGATTGGCCAGGTTTCCTCTATTAAGTTGTTCCTTTTTCTCATCATTAATATCATTATCTGCTAAGCTCAGTCTCACTTGCTATAAGCTCCATTAGGGCAACATCAAAGTGGTGATACAGCATGGCGGCAGTAAGAGCATACAATCTGGAATCAGGCAGACCTGGGGAGTGTCCGAGCTCATCCATATACTATCTGTGTGACCATGGGCAAGTTATGCAACTGGTCTTAATTTCCATCATTTGTAAAATGGGAAATTACCCATCTTATAGGACTATTTTGAGGCTAAATGCATAAGAAGAGCCTAATGGTGCCCAGAACATGAAAAGTAGCATAAAACATGTAAAGCAGCATTATTCTTTTTCATTGCTTTACCCTTTGAATTGCCTAGCCAACTGCATGACACATACATGAGAAGCATTTTAATTTGTTAATATTTACAACACTCATCTAATTGTATTAATATAGTCTTTCACTGAACATGCCAAGAGACTGTGTCTTACTTATCTTCATTTTCCTCACACTGAGAACAGTGCTGAAAACACAGTGGTAACGCAGTGAGTACTTACTTATTCAGTTAATGTTCTTCAAAAACGTCTACAAAATGTGAAACACTTACCTTTTTCCTCTGTGGTGGGTTCTGGGGGGCAGATGGGACTCCTTCACAAGTCCTTTCGCCACCAGGTGACATTGATCCACGAGAGAGGTCTTTCAGAAAACCATGTTCATATCTGCTGGGAAACCCTTCTGCAGGGGAACAATAGCCCCCATCCAAATGTAAAGGCTTTCTATCCCCTACCAGGGGAGACCCTCGATACAATCCATCTGCTCGAGGCATAGCGTTCAGTGGGGAGTAGGCATACATCAAGTTAAACTCTGTCCGAAATGTCTGGTCCGAGTTTCTCACAAGAGTCTGATGTCCATCTCCACTCCTGCTTGTAAAACCAGTCTCAGAGGTGGGTCCAACAGAGGGATGAGGAGCCAGGTCAGAATGACCCGAGTTGATCAGGGAAGGTCTGTCAGCACAGCTGTTAGTGTTGGAGTCAAGGTAGCCTACTTTTGTCAAGTCCAGGTCTTTTCGGTGACAAAGCTGAAAGAATAAAAATCAACGGGGACATGGGGTAGGGGAGAAAGGAAAAAGTCAAAGGGCAGAAAAGAAGGGAAATGAGGGGGCACAGGTGAAGAGGGAGAGGTAAGAGGGACGAAAGTAGAATAGAGAAAGCCATTAACATCTGTAAAGGTCCCATGTAGCACCAGTGTACACATGCCAGATTACCAAAGAATCCTGGCCTTTCCCAAAGTAAATCTGATTTAAAGTCTTTGGATGAGAATACTGGGAAAGTCAGAATTAGATAATTGGCCAAATGTGACTATTTTGCCTGCTTAGCCTTTCATCAGGTTTGCTGAGCCACCTTGCACTACAATCAGGGACTGGCAGTATAATCAGGGATTTACCTGAGCCCCATGGAGCCACAGAGATGAGAATGGTGTCTTAAGATAACTGGCTTCTGGTGTTATTAATTTCTAAACTAATATTGATGGAAGGTGGGAGGAGGGGAAAAGGTGAAAAAAAGTAGAAAGTAGACGAAAAGTCAAGTATTTAAGTTATTGGTTCAGGGAAGGAGAATGGTATTAGCTGAAGACATCAACCAACCAGTTCTTCACTCACTTTCACTAATAAGTATGTGTGTTTTTCATAAACTTTCTGGTCACTCAATTCTTTCTGCATCCTCTAATGTATGTCAACATACCACAAGACCTGACTAGTGTTCATCACTGCAGAGCATCTGAAATGCTGAAACATACCAAAAATAAACCCATCTACTTGGTCATCATTACCTCCTAACATCAAAGATTTCCTGTCACTATGTCCACTATAGCTAACTCTCTAGAAAGAACAGAATCAGAAACCCAGATAATACAACATTGTCAGCCTCCAAATTATTCTAACTTAGAATCTTTAGCAACTGAGGAGAGAGAGCTTTATGTTCCTTACAAAATAAGACTAAAAAATACCAGTCAGAAAACCTCTAGTACACTAGAATACAATCTTTAGTTTCACACTGATCTATAAAATCCTACCAATTCAGAATTTGGTCACCTGTCACTGAGTTTAGCACTAACGTTTTACTGGAAGGGTATGGGAATAAAAGTTCTTAATTTCTGAAAGTTTATGAGAGACTGTAACTTTCTTTTCACGAGGAGTAAGGCTCCATGTGGATTCATGGAGTTATCACTGCTACCTTTGTTGAAATCTTGTAACAAGTTAAGAAACTCTAGCACTAACATGTGAATTTAACATCTCCATAGCAGTAAGATTTGCTATTCTAAGAGATACCATCTGTACAGCAACCATTTCCCCAACCACTGTAGAATGGATGCCTGAGTCACAGAAGCCACGGGCTGATTTAAGCTGAGAGGTATGACTCTGCCTTTCTAAAGAAGATGCTTAATCTATCAACCAAAGCTCAAAACATCCAGTTAAAAAGAGCTGTCAGATTAACTCTGGAATAAAGCATAAATCACTGCCTAACTTTTAAAATATAAGCTGCTCCTTCATCAAGTCCAAGATAATAAATATCAAAAGACAGCTCCTACCAACTGTTGATTTAACCTTCCTTACTTAACAAACACACTTTGTTAGACTTTAACAAGGTTCCCGCATTTTCAGCTCCTTTAAACTTGACTTCTAGATTCTATCCTACTTTAAAAGAACTCTTCAGCCATACCCACCGCCCTCCCCTCAAAAACAACAAAAACGAACCCCACCATACACACACACACACACACACACACACACACACACACACCCCTACTTCATTTTCCTCCATCTACATTGAGAATTCTGAGTAACCACAGTCACACATGGGAAGATTCATTCACCTTACAGTGTGACCAATCGGCCACCCTCCAGCCCATCACCCCATTCACTCGGATCCCCCAAGCCCTCCCCACACACGCAGGAACACACTCATGCCCACTCACTCACAGCCTCCAAGTGTGATTGAGATGGTGTGATAACTACCTCGGGTGACAGGGACTCGGGCCTATTCGCAGGGGAACTCTCAGGGGAGGATATGTTCTAGAGGAGGGAAAAGCATCTTGTTATTCATCTACTCAAAGAAGCAAAACAAAACAAACAAAAAATAAAGCAAAAGCAAGCATAGATGGTTAGCCACAAATTTGGGGGTGGGGGGTGAGGTGGGGGTGGGGCAGGGAGAGGGGTAAGAATGCACAAGGGAAATGCTTAAATGCAGAATCATCTCAATGGACAGAATGACTTGTTAAAATGCTTCCTGGTGTCTCTGAAAGCATTTAAGGATAAACTGGTTATGTTTCATGCTATAAGTAAACATCTCAAGCGGATAACAAGAGTTATTAAATTGGTGAGATTTTATACTGTTACATTATGTCTTTCTGTGTTAGACAGATTTTAGTAACCTGTAGTATCTATTACTGATAGGCACCCTATCACTCATCCCTCATGCTTCAGGGCACCTCTCCTCTTCACCCCACACCCTCCTCTGAACGCCACATTTTCTCTTTCTCTTGTGGGACTCAGGCCTGCCGTATTTACCCAGGGGAACTGCTTAGCATGCAGGGGGCTGTCAGGGCTAGGGAGCTGGCCAGTTCCTCCTCCAGTTGCAGGAGTTATGCCTGATGGATTCTCCAGCTCACAGGCTAGATGGTTCGTAACATAATCCACTGTACTTTGAGGAACAGAGAGAAAAGGATTAAAAAAAAAAAACAGCAGCAGATGTGTACACGTCAAGCCTCCGGTCCTGAACAAGGGCTTATCCTTAGGACTGCTGCCTGAAGCAGCACTCCTGAGTGAAACAGTAACTGGGCAGTGGGTTCGGACAGGAAGATGTGGAGGGAAAAAGCAGGGAAAGCAGGGAATGATGGGGGTAGCTGTGACAAGGAAAGAGGAGGGTTTCTAACGCAGCCTCTGGGTAGCTGTGGCCTGGGTGGCTGACAGTTCTGTGGCAGAGGAAATGAGGCTGCTTCAGCAGGGCCACTGGCTGTTAATAATTTCATTTGGTGGGGTGTTGTATGTGTGGACTGGATAATGGGGTACGGCTCTCAAGGCAGGAAGGGAAAGGTTATTTCGGTGGAAAGAAGGGGTTCATTAAGCTTGCCCTCCCAATGCTGCTTACTCTTTTTTTGATGCTTCCCTCTCATGATCTTCTTTTTTTATTACATGTCTTTTCAACTCATCCCCTTAGCATTTCTCACTTTTCTTCTGGAAGGTTCCTTATTTTTCCTTTTATAAATATTCTTTCCCCAATAAACTGATCTTACTTGTGCCATCACTCTGCTATTTGTGTGTCACAGTCTTAGGTGAAAATAAGGCTCCCTACTTCCCTATACTAGAATATAGGAAAGTGTATGGCAATTAAAATGGTGATAAAGACGGCCAGGATGACGAAATCTGGGTTTTTTTTGAATCGATGAAACAGGCCAAATTTTCTTAGTTAAATCATGAGACTAAAATAGTGAAAATATACACTGAACTTTTTGAAGGGATGAGTTATTTAATATACTATAATATTTTCTTTCTTTCCTCGTGTTCTAACATCATGCTTAGACTATGCATCACTAAAATGATCTTTGAAAAAAACAAAAAACAAAACAAAACCCTTACATTTGCATAGTGTTTCACAGTTATCCAAAACGCTACAAGGGGTAGGATATACACTGAGTGCTAAACCTGTCTGTTCTAGAAGGCAACTCCCCTTCTAATTTTACCTTTAATTATAATAAACTATGAAATTCTATTCTCATAATCTACTGCCCAACAGGGAGAATGTCCTCTCATGAAATTTTACCATCAAACTTCAGCTGCTAAATGAAAAGTCAGCTGCAATTAGATCCAAGTACACTTAGTAAGGCCCATATCAGATGTTTTACCATCTGGCTTGAAAGAATGTCACCGGGAATTTGGTAAAGGATAGCCTCCCCTGGGTGTCCCTGGTAGCTCAGAGGTTAAAGCGTCTGCCTGCAACGCAGGAGACCTGGGTTCGATCCCTGGGTTGGGAAGATCCCCTGGAGAAGGAAATGGCAGCCCACTCTAGTATTCTTGCCTGGAGAATCCCTAGAAATCATATGTGACCAGGAAGGTTTTTTATCCCCGCTCTCAGAAAAAGGTTTGCTCCAAAGTAAGTTAACATAGTTTAGGCACAGAATATAGCTTCCTCTTATTTTCAAGGTTGCTAGCTACCTTTCTGAGTTAGCTGTTTAAACGTTCAGGTCTTTTTAATTCCCGTCCTCTTTTAAAAACTGAATAGGTAGGATGACACTGATTAGAACATTCACCTTTATCAAACAAGACATCTGGAGAAGTACAAGCTGTGTTTAGTCATCAAAACAAATTTTTCTGAGAAGGAACAGTGTCTGTTTAATTAGAAGTCAAAGCAACATGCAGTAGTTTTTTTTTTAATGCACTCACATGAATTCTATTCAATAAACCTACTATTACTCAAACTTGAACACTAACGCAATTCAGAATTGACTTTTTGAAACACGTGACCAGAGTGAGCAATAAATCTGGTTCTTATAAATAAATGCATGTTGCTAGCCTCTACTTCTCATTTCTAACACATTATTACAAGAAGGGAAAGTAACCTGGAAATGAAAATCCTAATTTGCCATAAACCATACCTCAATGCTTTCTAAATCTGTTTACTGAGGCCACAAAGAGAATGCAAAATAACAAAGACACTTCACTGATTTAAAGGCCAAGAAACGGAGGCACAACCAATCACTATAATCTGCACTCTCAGGTTGGTGTCATTTTAATGGTTACTAGGAAGCTAGAGGCCAATTTTAACCAAGGCATACAGTAAAGGTAAAGATGAAGGTCTAGCATGACTACCACCTAAAGGTATGGAGGTTGATGAACTGCATGCAAAAGATAGATGAGTGTCACCTGTGGGAGTACTCTTCCTATTTTGGTAAGTATAGAGACTGCCAAGATGAGAGGCTACCAGGTAATAGGTCACAATGACCCTGAGGTTTCCCATTCTCTTGCTAAGGTGGGCAAAGGACATGGTAAAGAAACATTTGGAATGGTATTATATTTGAAATGAGGAGGTGCAAATGATGATTTTCATATTCAGAACTCCCAACAACCAAACCCAAATCACCTCAAATTGCAGAGGAGTATTGCAGCGACTAGCAGTAGTAAGAGATGTGACTGGTGAGAACATGAGGCTGTATCCATTTCGACACTCCTCTTCCGGGTGAGATGGGCCAGGTGTGGTCAGCTGGGGGCTCTTTGAGCCTGGATTGGGAGGGGGTGGTGTGACTGGAGAAAGAGGCCGCAGTAACTTGGTGACATTCTGCTCCATCAGATAGCGAGACTTCCATTTCTTTAATGGGCTCAACAAGTCTGTGAAATAAAGCTTGGATGAGAGGTTTGAAATTACAGCCTAAAGGGATACTTGTAGTGAAGCCATTAATCTCTAGCCCACAATGGCTCAAAACTCCACTTTTGCCTCACCCCACTGTTATCTCCTGCAATCAAACCAAAAGCCCAAAGGTTCTTTAACTGCCACACTTAAAAATGATTCTCAAAACTCTCCAACCTCCCAAAAACTCATCAGATGAATCTGACACTTTAAATAACTAATCCCTGGAGCTAATTTAATCTCCTGTAGTGGAAAACATAAATTTATATTTTTCACATTCTAAAAAAACCCTCAAATCTGTCTCTGTTAAAATCACTCCCTGTCGAATTGTTGGTTCACCGACTCAGTTTCAAGCTTTAATATATTTTTCCATTCTTTAGCAGCTCTTTACATAATATTCTGCTTCAGCAGGAGAGAGTTACACATGATTACCTGATCCTTACTGAGTACTTAGTTTTAGAGTGCTTCGAAGTGTGAAATCATTTTTATATAAACTTCATTTTCAAAAATTAGACTGGTACTCTTTTTCTGATTGGAATATCCTACTTTCTACGGTAGACTTCTTAGTTCCACTTTGAAAGAAAGTTAACATGCTTTAAGTTTTAGTTACTACTCAGGGCAATGCACCCATCTCACTTTCTTAAAGGAAAAATCTATTTTTATTCGTTCACAGTTTCAAGCTATTTATTTGTTTAGTACTTCTTACATGGAAACCACTGAACTAGGTATGTGGGGGATAATGGTTATCATATACTCTACTTTTAAAAATATATTCTATTTTAAAAGGGTTTATGAAAGCATAAGAAAAAGAAAACATACATAAAACATGTTGTTAAATGATTAGGTTTCCTCCCAAGCTGTTGAGGAAGTTTTGGGACAGCAGCACAGCTATGCTTCAGAACAATTCCCCTGGTAGCAATGGTTAGCATGAGAATGAACACTGGGGAACTATTTGGAGTTAATGGAGGAGTTATACAGAAAGAGTTATGAAGCACTAAACTAGGGCAATAGAGGGTGAAACAGAGAAGAAAAAAAAGCAAAAAATACTGGAGAAACATATTTTTTCTTTCAAGTATCTAAAAAATTAAAAAAATTTTCCTAGAGTAGAAGTATGTTTGTATTTTCCTTCTGTTCCAGATACTATGTTTTTCTTTTCTCCTTCTGAAAAGTGCCTAGGTGTAAACAAAACAAACATGTGATTCATAACTTACATTTAGGTTTATATAGTTCAAGAGTCTTCAACAGCGAATCTTTTAAAAGACCACTATACTGCTAGGTCCAACACTGTAACTACTAAAAGCAATTATGTAAGTTATAAAGTTCATTGTAGAAAAGTTATAAAGTTCAGATGAACTCTCCCATCTCCAAATTAACTTACAGGTTTACTCGTTAAAAATATATTTATTGAGTATTTATCATATTTAATGAAAGAGACCTAGCACTCATCCTTTATGAAGTTTACAGGCCAGTGGTAATGTGCCTACTTTTTTATATGAACAATACTATATTTACAAAGTTTTCTTTTAAAGTTTCATTTTTCTTCTTTTTGTCATACACAGGTATCAAATTTCCTGGTTAAATCTCTTTTATGGTTTTGTACCTTTACTTAAGTAATTCCCAAGATATATAAACAAACATCCACATATTGAAACACGTATTTAACTTGAAATCATATTCACAAATTAATGCACTGCTAATGTCCTGGGGTATTTTCATCTCAATCTGTTTCTTTTCTTTTTTTTTCAATCTCTTTCTTAACATGGCCTTACTGATTCCTTGTCTAAATTACACTGAATAAATAACCTGCTATCTTCACTCATAGTAAAAATCTTTCCATTACAGTGACAAAAATGTTATAATTATATTTTGATTTTATTAAGTCTTTTTTAGCTATACAAAGTTTATATTTGTACTTAGTCAAATGTATCAACTATTTCCTTTATTTTCTGCCTCAGACATGTCTTTGTCACCCCACCCCAAGACTATAAAAATGACCTATTTTCCCATTATCTCCATATTTAATTTTCAAATTTAACTCAGAATGTTCTAACCTTTTCAAAGGGCAAATGGCTAGCATATTCTTCCAAATTATTTTGTAATTATAGAATAATCATATTTCTATACTGATTTGAAATATGACATTTATCCTACTAGATACTGAGATTAGTTCTGAATGTTATTCTGTACACTTTTAGTAAAATTATTTGGACAATTCCAGTTATTCTGTTCTAGCTCTCCAAATTATTTTGCCTATTCTAGCATACTTGTTCATGTCAATGAATTGTAGAAATCGTTGGTCAACTATGCTGATACTTCCCCTTCCCAAGGCTGATTGGGGCTGTATTAAATTCATGAGTAATCTGTGGAGAATTCTCACTGAGCACTGTGGCATGATCTTTCACCTACTTATGCCTTCATTCATATTGCTCATCATTATTATTAATATTTTGACAGCTTATGGGGTTGAACCCAGGCCCTCGACAGTAAGAACGTGGGGTCCTAACAACTGGACCGCCAGAGAATCCATTATACCGCTTCATTACAGATTTGCCGCATTTCTAAATTAGGTCTATTCTCCAGTGTTCTCTATTTTCCGTTACTACTGTTAAGTAGATGCACTTCTCCCTGTGTGTCAGTTAGATGTCACTGCTAACAGGTAAGGAAATCACAGTATGGTACACATTTTTACAACTAGCTACCCTATTGACCTCTACTAGCTTTTCAAAAAGTTAATTCTGTTGGCTTTTCTAAGTAGAGAAGCGTATTATTTGTATACAATGATAATCTATACATCCTCTTTGCCGAAACTTTTATCTCATTGTTTTTTAGGTTTTTTTTTTTTTGATAATCAGTTTGGACAACAATTCTAAATGTTGTTAAATAAGAATGGTAATACTGGGATAATCTGATAACCCATTTAGAAGGTTTAATCTATTTTTCAACATGAAGTATACCTGGCAACTGTTTTCAGATAGATGTAAAATAAGAAAATCATTCAGTATGTTATTTTATTAGATTTATCATTCAAATCACATTTACTATGCTATTACTCCCTCCTCTTCCATTTGGTTTGCTAATAAATTATTATATAAATAAAATTTCAAGTATTGAACCTTCTTTACATTCCATGGAAAATTTTTATTTGGTCATAACAATAGTATTCTTACAGAGTCAACATTCAGATGACTGAAATTTAATTCAAAAGTAGTACTGTACTGTTTTTAGGAGATTAATTTGATAAAATAAATCAACAGTAAAAATTTTAATGCTACTGTATAGTATTTCATCAAAAGTATAGGCAATAGAAGGTAAACCACAAATTCTACCATTTCTTTATTCACTGACACCCAGGTCACTTTGATTAAGTATTACTGGCAATTATTAATAATTTCATGACTAAGACTGTGCAAAAGCCCACCGTCTACTTCTGTTTTTAAGTCCATACCTATTTCTCTACAATCTGTACAGTAAGTAGCTAGAAAAATTACTCCTAGGTTTTTAAAAATGCATATGATAAATCCTCTCAAATTTCTAGTAGAGATATTATTTCCCTGTCATTTTTGCAAATCCTTTCTCCCAGTATTTTTGTCCTCTATCAGTTCAGAGAGCTAAAGACATAGCAACTTTAATTAAAAAAAGAAATCAAAGCCAAACAATGAATGTGCACAGAACTTACTTTGGCAAAGATCTAATTCTTTCCCATCTCCCACGTAAGTAAAAATTAAAGAATAGTTTAGACTCTTTCGCTTACATAAAGCCTGTTTCTGGCTATTCTGCTCCACATGCACACACACGTGCGCGTTGCTGAACCTGCACTAACCTAATCACCGCCTCGCAGCCTCACGCTGGCAGGCACTTCTTCGTCATTACTTTTTCAATTGTTCTTGGTTACCTTCATGTTTGTTTATGATAAACTTCCAACATAATTAAATCAAACCCCCAAACAAACTAGCTTGATGGAAACTGTATGAAGACAAGAAAAAATTAACACTCATTATATTTCCTCTTTCCATTAAGGAATATGGAAGCTCCCTTTATTTCCTCAAGACAAAAAAATATTCCTCAGTAATGCTTTGTTCTACATGTCTCCACCATTATTCCTAGGCAGTTTCTTCATTTTGTTGAGCTCAGCAATGAAAATTTTCCTTCATTTATTTTCTGGGTACATAAATGCTATTAATTTTTATATATCCAGCAGTTCATTTTTTTCAATTATTTAGACTCCTAGGTATATAGCCACATCATTTACAAATAATGAACATTACACTCGCCCTTGCCTGCAGAGTTAATACTGTTTATTTCTACACAACTTTAGCTTTAAGAAACTTCATGTATCCTAGTATATGATTAATTTCTCTAAATTTTCCATAAATGTTCAACAAGAAATCTGTGTATAATAATGACAATAATAATTTCTATTGAGGGTCTGATACTGTACTTTATGTACATTACTCTCATATTAGCTCTACAAGGCAGGTATTACTATACCCGTTTTCACAGGATGAGCCTCAGAGATATTTTATAACTTGCCTGAGTTAGTAAAGGGTGTGTGTGTGTTAGTGGCTCAGTCATGTCCAACTCTACAACCCCACAGACTGTAGCCCACTAGGCTTCTCTGTCCATGGGATTCTCCAGGCAAGAATACTGGAGTGGATCGCTGTTCCCTTTTCCAGAGGATCTTTCCGACACAGGGATCAAACCCTGGTCTCTTGCACTGCAGGCAGTTCTTTACCATCTGAGCTACAGGGAAGTCAGCACTAGTAAAGGGTAGAGATGATCATTACATTCAGGTCTGTTGGATTCTTTCTACTGTATCAATCTGTCTCGCTTTCTTGATTAATATCTCCTTGGTCTTTTTGAGATAAGAAAAACAAAATAAAAAACCCCCCAAAACCAAAGAAAGCAAAGCAACAAATAAAAATAACTCCTCAGGATTTATACTAGTAGCAATATACCAAGATGCTCATTTGAGTACTGCTTGGTTTCAATTAAATGTTTTCCAGTTTATGTTGTTGCTTAAGGGCAAGGTGTATCCTTTGAATCTTTCTCAATGCTAGAGAAGAGAGAACTTTAATAAAGGTTGGTGACTAACAGTCTTAACTCCATTCCAACTAGGGCACATAATAATGGAGGCACTTTCCTTATGAATCTTTGCCAGTCAAGACATGAATTGCTAATACAGCCTCCCTTTCCCAAACTCAAATACATACATACATAACACACAGACTACACATGCATGTGTAGAAGATTCCAATTGTTATAGTCTCACTGTACTGTAAAAGCTGCCAATAAACTGATAAAATTGACGAAAATCTGTTACCAGCATTTCTTTATGTGAACCTGGTTCAAGTAAATGTTCCTAATCACTGGTGAAGAGAATAAAGTATTTTAAATATATGGTATCATTTATCTTCCAGATGTTCTACACAGGGATTTTATTATATTGAGGTTATATACATGATAACTTACAAGGTATAATCCAGTCTAAGGATAGAAAAATAAACTAAATCAATAACTAAAACCTATTTTTAGCAGCATTATTTTTTCCAAATATAATCTTACACAAAGTTTTAGTAAAAACTAGATATTACTAGTACATATCTCTTTATTTAATTCAAGTTCATATTTACTTAGGCAATGAACAAGAGGTTTCTATGAAAATTTGAAATATTACTATGTTAGGTACAGACTTGCATGACTTTTAGCAGTGTATTTATTTTGGTATTTTGTTTTGATTGCATAATATTCACAAAATTGATTTAGAGATAAACAGAAATCACACAGAACTTTTCAATTAAAATAATACTGGCCAAGAGAAACTTGGTAATAAAACTACCCCAAATAAGTTGGTATCAAGTTCATGCACCTGTGCTTTTAACTGCAATCAAGACCCCTGCAAGAGTTACAGCAAAACCAATGGATCAGATGACTTTTCATGACCCTCCAGTTTAAAAATTCGTATGAGGACTTTAAATTGGATTCAAGGTCATGTCTTTTAAAAAACTGACACTAATTGTGCAAGCTCTTTTGAAAACAACCAATTCATAGTAATTTCTCATTTACTTTACTCACCCCGTGCCCCTTCAACAAGTCCCACCCCACTCAATCACCTACAATTTTGATTCTTTCCTGAATAGTGCCCCACATCTTTTCTTATTTCCCCTCTTATAAATATGGATATAGAGCTCCTAAACTTACTACTTTAAATGTATCTAACCTTTTTAAAAACCATTTCTGCTGTTATCTGTACACTGTCTAGTTCCTTCTTTGCCGTCCTGGGAATACTGATCCCTGACTTGAGATCTCTCTCTTCCTCTGTAAAGACAGATGTAAAGTAACTATTTAGAGAACAATGCTATTTTTTTTATATCATACTTTTTAAAGTATTCAGTGAAATTTTTAATGCAGACCCAAAGCAATCATTGCTCATGTATTCAGAAAGGTTTGTGATACGTACCTGCATTGTCTTTGCAGATACTAGAATTACTGTTCTCATTACTTTGGTATAGGTGCTGAGTTCTAGTCTCTTGGGGTACAGATGATGTTTGGGTCATCCCTTCTTCCAAGGCTTGCTTTATCCAGCGCTAAAATGGGAAAAGAACCAGGGAATTATCAACAATCATTTAAAACTATTTGGCTCACCTATTTATTTTAAATGCATCAACTGGGTCACTATATATCAACTGGTGATAGATATTAATACAACACATTCATTCAGGTCCACAGCCAAAGTATTTTTTGTCTTGTGTTTCAGCATTTTAGGATATTGCCCCATCAATTCCTTCTATAAAGTATAACTGAGAAAGCCTGGTTTACACATAATGAAGTCCCACTTAAAAAAAAAACACACACAATAAAAATGATTACTCTTTAACTCTTCATACTGCTTAGAATGGAATAAATGGGAAAAAGAGAAGAAAGAAATCTTAACGTTTATATAAGAGACTCCGATGACATAGAATAAAGCTGACACATAAAGTAAGTGTGTAAAAAGAAGATAGATCTCTTAAGAGTTGTCTGTCCTGTGCTGGGGATATCTGAAGACGTAATAGAAAAGTTTCACAGGAAAACTCTGGATGAGAATAAATAGCTCTTTACTACAAGTGCCAAAATGCTTCCAAAAAGACTACTCTCGATATCCTGTGAGTTTTCCCTCCTTGTTAAGTAGTTTGGTTAAATTATGCATGAATAATGCAAATCATTACCAGAATCCTTCTGCAGAAATGAAAAAGGGAAAAAAGTCAAAAAGAGCGCTCTAATCAGTCACATTTTTTTGATAATGAATATTGGAACCTAAAATGATGGAAACAAACTTTGTTCAGAAAGGAAGCCTACAGAGATAAGGATAGTAAGATTATGCAACCTGTGGAAGAGAGAAAATTTCTTACCTGTAATTATGTTCTCTTAAGATACACTCACACAGTTGTAGGTTGCTCACCACTCTGTGGCTCTCCTGCCCTGACACAAGACAGATCGAATTTTGATAAACATCAATTTCTGAGTCAGACCATATCCCAAATAGGAAGAGTAAAGGTGATTGTAACTTACACCTTTAGAGAACCAATATTACAGGTAAGTAAATATTCTCTTTACCAAAGACAGCAATTCTAATAGGAACTTAGGAAATAATGCGAGGAAACCAAGAAAACATTTACATTATGTATATGGCACTGTGGTCTGCCAAATGAAAGCAAAAGTATAGACATGAAGAGATAGAGAGTGAATATCTAAAAAAGAGAGGTAACATCAACTGAATCACATTAGGATTTGATCAAGTCTCTGAAGCCAAAATAAGACCAAGAATGAACTTACTCTCCTACATACAGAATATTGATGTGAAGATGAACTGTCAGAACCATAACTCCCTACATAGAAGAGACCTCAGAGGTCACCTTGTCCAAAGCATTTCTTGTATATATAGGAAAAAATTAGGCTCAGGAGACCAAAAATGAGTGAAAACTCTTTGTTATATAGATACCTTACTACAAGTTTTTCTTATCAGAGCAGATGACAGGACTCATTTGGGGTCACTGTGCTTTTCTCCAAGGTAAGTTAATTTCATGTATTTCCAGTGTCAAATAGGTGCACCCATAAAAGAATTCTCTGCATCTAATGACTACAAAAAGGGAAATTAAAACCAGGACGGGGCATTCTAAGTAATAAGATACTGCTCTGGTTAGCTTATGGTCGAACACAGCGACTCGACCAACTCTTTCCTCCTGGCTCTACTGTGTGTCTACACAGTATTCTAGGGCCCATAACGAAGGAACACCAACAGTTATTTGTATCTAACAAGTTCGAATCACTCCTATGGATAATAAATTAACTTTAGACCTTTTCCCCCAAGTTCCAGCTACAGTTATTAAGGTCAAAAGAACATTTCTTCCTTCTCTGGAACTCCTGAACTCTACTGAAGATTTCTAGGAAGCTCAGAGATGGGCAATAGAAATGTTTTAAAGGGTATCATTATGATGGGGAAAGGGAAAGAAATTAATTTGGGTTTTAGAGTCCAAAGACCCGGATTGAAACTTGGCTGCACGTCTTCCTAGATGTTTAAACTTTGGGCAAGTTACTTTCACTTCTGAGCCAAAGCTTTTGGATCTGTAGATTGAACCCAATGATCCCAAGCTCACAGGGTTATCATGAATTCTAAGTGAGACAGTGCATGTGAAGAAAGCTTGTAGCACAATACTGGGCAAACATTGCTCAGTGAGAACTAGTTCAAATGAATTTCAGGCTATGTATAGAGTATACAGATTAATATCACTCCAGTGCACGCAATAAAATATCAACGCAAAGCATAGTGTTTCATTTTCAGTCTAAATGGGAGATTGAATGCCCCACACATATTATGCCTACAAGGTGAGTTCAGAGATTTAGAGAAAACAAGGAGAGATATTACTGAAAGGCATGTTAGCCATTCATAAATGCTTCCATTTCAAAATAACAAGTTAAGTAAAATTCAACAAGACATACTATAACATGCTAGTTAAGAGCTTCGAATTGATTTAATTTAGAAACTACAGTGACATCATAAAACATTTTGCCAAATACTCTAAAAATCTGGGTGCAAATATACACATGCAACTTTACACTCAAACTTATGAAGGTTTTATACCTCCTTTAATCAGATATGACAGAGTAAAGGCCTACTAGGAATACATGCTGTTTTAACTAATCCCATGAGGGGACGGCTGTTCTTATCTATCTGTTTAACTATATTCTTCTCTGAGTGATTTTTAGAAATGTATTACAATCTTATTATGGAAATCTTCTTAGGTTCTGCACCATGTGAGTCTTTTCTAACCAGTCTAAAAAAATCTCCATCTCCATCTAGGATAAACATGAGTTCAATTCTACATAGGACCCAATTTCATTAATTTTGTCCCATAAAAAGTTACATTGTTTTGCAATATAATCTTGATACATTAACAGCAAATAATAAATTTGTGATTTAAACAATTTTCAAAGACTCAACTTAAGTAAGATACTTTGCTACCTGTCAACATACATAGTCTGAACTCTTCTTAAAGACTAATATGACACAAATAGATAAAAGTGTCTGAGCAGAGCCTGTATAAAACAAGACTAAAGATGGTCAGATACATGTAGAGACTATAACATGAATATGAATTAAATGGGATTTCTAACTGTTGCCAGTGGAGAGACACAAAGATGAAATATACATATAAATCTGAAACCATAACCAGGTAAAAAGGGCTCTAAGAAATATATTTTCTATCAGATTTGAAGTCATATTTCTACACATTTTGGATTTTCACAGAACTCTGCTACTTGGGAAAAAGTAAGATGGGAATAGAAGGATTACAACCTAGCATCAGAATAATAAAGGCAGAATTTCAAGAAGGCAGCCCATACTATTTACAATTCAGACTTCATTATTCTGTATTAATAATTATTAACCCTTCTTAAAGGATCAAAGAAAGAAAATCTATTATCTCACTTGATAAGATACTTCAACAGTTAACATCCTAGGAAGCCTAGTACTATGTCCATCCAAAGACAGAACAAATGGAAGTTTATTTCATATATATACTAAGCCTTATTTTGACTTGTTCCTCTGAACTAAAGACAGCTTCTCTAATTGTTCAATACTACTCTGAAAATGTAGATTTGGGGCTATTACCTTTAATGAGGGACTGAGCTAAAAGTAACGGTAAGGTTAGTTTTACATGCCATACCAGAGTTAGTGAAATCCGCCAATTATTACAGAATAAGGTCAATCACTGTTATTGTTGTTTAGTCACTAAGTCGTGTCTGACTCTTTTGCGACCTCATGGACTGCAGCCTGCCAGACTCCTCTGCTCATGGGATTTCCTAGGCAAGAATATTTGGAGTGGGTTGCCATTTCCTTCTCCAGGGGATCTTCCTGACTCAAGTGTCCTGCAAAAGCAGGCAGATTCTTTACCACCAAGTCACCAGAGAAGCCAAGGTTAATCAATAATGGTCATTAAATGGCAAATATTTTTTTTTTCCTTCTCAGATAATTTATAAGATCCAAGATAAATAACTTGGTATAGAATAAAGGATTCCCAGAGACCTAACCTTCACTTCCTTTAGTAAATTTCTTGTCTTGTTCTCTTTTTAAAGATGTTGTCACTGTTTCCTTTTCTGACACCTGGAAGTTATGTTACTCCATTACACACAAACCCTTTTGGCAAAGATCTCATGATCAAATTTCTCTTTAGGAGTTGTTCTACTTGGGAATTTCCCCTAAACAAATCAGTAAGTGACTCAAACACTCAGATTAAGACTAGGAAGACTTTCTTCAGCGTATGTTGCTCGCTCAGTGGTGGCGCCTTTGCTTTGTGTGCAGATCCCTGCTGCCCTCCTCCCCTCCATATCCCCCAACACTTGGGTTCATCTTTTACGCCCCTCCCCCCAAGACACAGCATCTGCTCTTTGGGAAAAGAGAAGAGCTTTAAGTTTGAGGAGTCAGGGAAGACCTGCCTGGAGTTGGAGACTTCATCACATCAAATAATCTATATGCAGCATCCTCATGTACGTGATGCCAGTGGAGGAGGGCAATGGCAGACATTGAGGAAGGCAGCCTGAATCCAGATCTGAGGATAAGAGAAAAGGGTGTTCCAGGGAACAGACTCTACCTCAAAGGTACCAAACGAAAGGGTGTCCTATAACTTCTAGAAACATGAAAATGACATTACAGATCTGAGGGCGTGATCTATTCTTGAGAGACGCCTTTGGAAAACAGGCAGGGCTTCTGGGAATTAAGAAAGCATTCCAAAAATAAACAACCATCAAATACGACCGCCACTAGATCCAAAAACAATACATAACTACAGAAGAGAAACCAGAAAGAGAGAGAAAACTTTATGGTAGGTTCCACAGTCACTCAGGAATAAACACACCTTTGATCAAGGAACAGGAATTCTGTCAGTTGTGACAGGACCTTCCTCTACTCCCAGTCAAACGGTAACAGTGACTGAGTTAATCCAAAACAAAATCTGATCATTCTTTAACTTGTGCAACAGTGCTCTAGAGTACCTGGGGCCCAATCTTACAGAATAGTCAAATGGACATGTTAACCAGTATCACAAGAGCACACACAAAACACCCCTCTCTACCCAGTCACCAACTGCTAAGATAACAGTGAACACAAAGACAATTTGCTAAGACAAACTGAGCACCAAAATATAGTATACATCCCACCTTAGTCTCACTGATTCCTGATGCATCAGTATTTGTGGCTTAACAACTAACTCACTATAAACTCATTTGGGCAGAGTGTGCTTATCTACAGAATGTGTTTGATATGTCACCATTACAGGCATCCTAGGTTAAAAGTAAAAGAAATCATGTAAACAAAGACATACCTTTTTACAGGAGCTGAATGTGCCATCAGGCAGAAGTGGCCTTCGACGCCTCTCAGGGATAAAGGGTGAGCCAAAGCGAATGTAGTGTTTGGGGGTGGTGCAAATTAACGGGGAATGGATAAGACCAGGTAACATGTTCAGGGTTGTTGCCAGTACAGTTGGGTCCGTGGTGATACGTAAAGGGCACTCAACAGGACATTCTTGCTTCTCAGCTTTGTCATTCAACCATTCTGTAACTAGATACTAAGTTAAAAAAAGAGACTGTCAGTTGATGATGTTGCAGATGTAAAGGCCAGAGGCAGCAGTGTTAATTCACAAAGACAATCCTCATCTAGAAACTAGGACAGAGGTAGATAAAACAGCTGCAAAGATATGATTCGCATAATCAGAGCACAAGGGCATCTTAGCTCACCCTCTCCATGATCATTACAGGAGGAATGATTTCAGCTATCAGTAATTTAAGCTCTGTCTAAAAACCATGGAAACAAAAGTAAAGTAGCATCATGGACGCAGCATTTTATCTCAAATCTAATTAATTCATAGACCGCTTTTTGTCCCCTGAGGATTACAGACCCTTTTACTTTACAAAGGAACAACTTTTGCCAGACTACACTTAGGAAGATGGATTTGTAACTTACCTTTTTGGTTTTGGGGTATTTAGATGCAGCACGGTTGACATGGGATCCAGTAACTGATACCACGGTTGGGTCAGACCCTGTTAATTGCCTGTTTTCTCCTGAACTGTCTACATTTCCAGCTTCAGTAGGAGTTACTGAGCTGTTATTTCCCCCTTCTTCCAAGGCAGCTTGTGACAACTCTGCCTGCTGTGCAATGGCCTGCTTCTGACGCTTTAGTCTTTGGGCTGAACTGGTCCGGTACCGAGAAATTCGACTCTTCGGTCGGGGCCTAGAAGGCTTTGCTGGAGGTGGTTTGGGGACTGGTTTTTCTGCAGCAACATCCTATAACAACAGCAAAGTTAACTGCTTACTAGAAATGTCAGCAAATATTTTATCCAGCTTTCTATTCACTTTAAGCACTCTGAATGTTCATGGTGAAAAAAGTGAGCATTAACAAACATTAATTTCAAATGTAATCCTTATAAAATGTATAAGCCAGAAAAGCTACAGGAAGATGTCTGCTTACTTCTTTTTCCAAAAAGTATTTATAAAATTGGTCAAAAGTCAGCTGGAAGTAGCCATCAAATTTTAGGTTCTTAGCAAGGAAGGTAAATCCTCCTCTGTTTTTCCCTCAGATACTGAGGTTTCAGCTTAAGGCTTACAATTTGTGGCTGAGATAGGAAAAGGAAGCGTGAACTCTGAGGATCCTGTGAAAGGTCAGGTACATAACTATACTACAGAGAAGGCCAAAGAGAAACCACAAGTTCTTTATGAATTCACCACCAACAATATCTGGCAGAAATTGTAGACAGTTCCATTCTAGTCTGAGAGTATCTATTTGTTCAAATTCTGTTTCCCTGAATTCCACAAATCAGCTTAGTGATAAGCAAATCAGCTTATTTATTGCAAAATAAGGCAAAGCTGAAAATGCTGATTCTAGCCATTCCAAAAGATAGGTAATTGATATTAGCAAGTGTTATCTAAGGCCTGGAGTCTTTTCATCTTACTCCTGCTTGGGAAGACCGCCGGGTGTTCACTCCAACACTCTGTGGGTTGCTTGTGATGGCAATATTTGAAGCAGGGTTGCTAACTTCAGGTTCAGGGGCTTCAGTTTTTGTTTCCTCTCCCAAAGGAGTCTCTGAGGTGGTGGCAGCAATCTCTATGTCAGAACTGCTTTGTTCCAAAGGCTGATCCCGCCGCTTCTTTCTTTTCTCTAAGTTTTCAAAAGCATGCATGATGGCTTCAACCTTCCTATCTTCCCGGGTCTAGAAAGCAATGACATTAGCATAGAAGGAAGCCTCTACCAGGAGAAGACAACAGCTTTTCACAAGTATTATTAATGCAAACTGATAGACATTTATTTCAAAAGAGGTCAGCTATTTTGAAACTTTTTAATACAAAAGAAAAATAGCCATCAAAACTAATTTTTCCCTGCATTTTCATAGTTAAAAAAAAAAAAATCAAGCAGATTTTCTTCAACAGCTTCTCAAGGACAAAAATAAACATGACTGATTGCAGCCATAAAGTAGAACTTCTGAATCCATTATGACTGCAGGTTTTGTTGGTTTTTTAAATGTCAAGTCACACAAATGTAGGAAATTACTAAGTTAACCCAAACAAAGATAATTTGTTACCACAGGCAGTTTTTTTGAAACCAGACTGTCAATAAGAAACCTCCTAAAACCATCAACAGATAATAGTCACTAGAGAACTATATGTGTCTGTGTAAAACAAACAAACAAACTACTTTATAGAAAAAGCCCAAATTGTGACCTAAAGGTGATGGTATAGTAACTTATTGAAGAAATGAAATGATATAAGTTCTGAAGGGGCTCACATGCCATAGGTAGCAGGAATCAGCAGGAACAAAAAGATGTTAGAAGGTACCCACCCTCCTGCTATGAGCTGAGTTCTCCTGGTCATCTGCAATCTCTTCTTTCTCCTCTTCTGCTTTTTCTTCTGGATTGTCTATTTCCTTTAAGACAAGAGGCAATATTCAGATGTATTCTTAAACTCCAGGAAAAAATCAACCCCTGGTTTTCCCCTGGGAGCTTAAAACTCTCTAGAAACAATTTCCAGTGCTTCAGTGTTACTTATATGGGGGTCACATGGTAAACACAGATGATAAACACAATTCACTGCACTGAAACCTGCTAAGTATCCAAAAGGATGCTCCTGACATTGTTTAAAAAAAAAAAAAGACAAAACTAGAATGAATGAATGAATGCATACCCACCTTGATATGAAGGGCATTAAGTGTTAACATAGATTCCCTACATAAAACAACATGTGGCAAGCTGGGATCCTCTTCATATGAAGAGGATCAACACCATAGCAACATCTTCTGACCAGGGAAGATTACCTCATGGTCACTGGATACAGTTACTTTCTCAGGAACTTGCTCTGGTTGCTGGCTGTTATCCTCTTCAGGGGCCTCATTCTGCTGCTCCATCTCTAGCTCTTTCCGTCGTGCTTTTCTACGTCTTGTCTCTGCTCCGATGGTAGGTAGGCTTGGAGGAGGTGGGAGTGGTGGTTCTGCAGCATTGGGATTCCTTTTTTGTATAGGGCAATTCCGGTTCCCCTTGTGACATGCACAGTCCACTTTATAATTACTGCTCCAAAGAAACAACCAAAAGTGCCTGTCTCAGTACCCTTGAAAATCAGTTATATTATCTATTCATTATCTTGAAATCTTAGTATAGTAATTTCCTTTGGTATTATCTTTGAACAAGTTAAATAGAGTCATTGAGAGAGTCCTATAAATATTTTCAATATTCTGTGTTTCTCTATATGACCCAAACTCACTCAGTGGACAGGAAACCAAGTCCCCACTAAATTCAATTCTCCCAATTGTCTTTATGCTATTTAAAGGCAGTGAATCCATGAAAGGGTCTAAAGTAGTCATACTTATCTTGTGTCTACCTTCACCGTGTCCTCACTTTTACCTACTGATTCCCTACTTATTATTAATACCTTTTCTTCATGTACCTGTGCCGGACATCAATTTGCTACATAGACCCTTACTGCCTAAAAGGACCAAGGAAAAAGAAGCAGTCATTTTACAAAACCCATCACATAATCAATCATCTATGACTTGCTATCTGTTTTTCTTCATTGTCATATATAGTTGGAGTACAATGGATGATCTGAGTGGATGATGTGAGTGGATGAGGTGAATCTTTAGATTCTTATTCTGTATGATAGTTGGTACAACAGCTGTGTGTTTAACAGTAGATAACTACTGTAATTTCTAAGAGTGTTACATACATACTCTTTTTGTTATTCTTGCTACATAGAGGCAAAGGCCAAAACACTCTTGGTTAGAAGACTGGTAAGCAGTATCACACTATCTACCTGTCTCTCTAAAAACAAAACAAAACACCCTCATTCTGTCTTTCCCTCCACCATTTTTAGGCAGAAAATGCATTACTCATGAAAACAAAAGGTTAAAAAAAAGAAAAAGGAAATGGCAAGGTACAAAAGCAGACTGAACAGAAAGAACAGCTTAAAGTTTAAGAAAAGGCCACTCATGTTGGGAAAGACTGTGGAGATCTTACCAGTTACTGTACTCATAATCAAATGCTATGGTGACCTCAGCATCCTTGGTGATAGCAGACACAGCATAGATACAGAGATGAATCATCCCATCTGCAATCATGTGTCGCACCTGTGTGAACAAGGCTAATGATTATGATTTATCAAAAACAACAGAAACTTTCTGTAAGAGGAAAAAAAATTCTTTTACTCAAATAATATTTCCTCACTTAGTTATGGTAGTCTGTTATTCCATTTGATACTATCATACAGTAATTGCTTGAAAATTTATATTTCTTGAAATAAACAAAGAAATTTTCAGATGTTAGCACTCAGAGTAAGAACACTGACCTATATCTTAAAGCTGTTTTCAGCTGTACCAGAAAATTAACATTCTTAGTCTATAAGAAAAGCTCTGTGGATTTTCTTGCTACATTTGATGTGGCTGTGTTCATTATGCACCAAATAATCAACTTTAGAAATGTCTAGAATCACTCCTTCAACCTGATTACCTAAAATCTAAAAAATGAAACCACACACCTTAGTCTTGGTCCAATGATACATCTTTTGTATGGCTATTCTTTAATATAACCTCACTGACTTCCTATCCAGCCTAGCTCTTTCTCTTTAGCAAATGCCAACTTGCTTTTTCACATTTTTGCCTTCTCTAAAGAAAATCCACTCCTTGACCTCATCCTGTCAGAATAAATAAACCATTACTTTTGATTTTCATCTCTTACAATCAAAGATTATAACCACTATCTACAGACCTTAATCTGGATGAAGTTTCCAGACTGTTTCTTCAGTTGACTTATCCTTTTGGTGGTTCCATTCAAAGAGAAGTTGCTACAGAAATCTTACCTCTGCATTTGGTGTACATGATCTTCTGATGAATCGAGCATCATTACCGAAAGTACGTGCATCCACACACATCTCTACACCATTGAATTTTGAGTAGAAGAGCACAAAGGGGTATGGTCTAGGAATATAATTAAAATTCCTGTAATTCTCAATAGAAATAAAAAGGCTACCCCGTGATTTCAAATATGAAGCACATGATGACAGAAGAGGTAGCAGTCCTCTGCAACGCCTAAACTTAGAAAACATCACATGCTTGTCTGCTTCTGATTAAAGAATAAGCACAAAGCAAGGAATGTTTTGCTTAGAAAGGAGTCATCACCACTTCATAGATTAAACAACTTGCAGATTTATTTGCACTTCTCTACAAATAGCAGAGAGGCGTGAGTTTTCCTGCAAGAGCATCCTACCCACAAGCATGGCTTTTACAGCTATCCTGCTCAGTGAGACCCACTTTAGCCCTTAATACTTAATGAATGATGTCTTACTTTTTGAAGAAATGCCCATTGACTTCAAATTGTTGCCGTAACATGACTTTGCCTCGATACTCTATTATAAGAGTGTCCAAAGCCAAATCTCTTGCAGCCCTCAGGATCTTCCGGTGCTTCTGAACACGAGTGACTCTTCCCAGTTGTAGCTGAATAAAATCAGAGTATTAACATTAGATGATATCAACAGGAGCTAAGTAGACATTTAAATTATTTCTTAATTGCAGGAAAGGCACTACTAATACTTTTAGGTTTTACGTGTCTGTATTTAGCTCAATGATGAGACATTTTAAAATTTGATGAAATCTTAGTATTTCTAGGAAATAGGTTCTGTATAGTGAACTTGTCACCCCCTTAACCCCAAAGAAAAGAAAAAAAAAAAATCTCAGAAAAATATGACAAATTTTAGTGGCTCTATGTATAATGTAAGAGCTTAGCTTTCCATTATTCTTAATAATTCTTACGGAGGCTATATAAATTTCCCATATCCTAATTTACCTATTTTTAATTAATAAAGATATATATCTTAAAGTATGTATCTGAACAGTTTTCAAGTGATCAAAACTTGCTTTTGGTTAAAGATGCTCCTCAACAAATGGCTAATTTGTTACCCTAAAGCCTTATACATTTGAAAGATAGGCTAATTTCAAAATACGTCCTTTTCCTGAGTTCTTAAAATCTCAACTAATTAGGAGTCTTTAACCCTTGATCCTTACCTGCATTTGGGACCCAATAACTGTATTATTACAGGCCAATTCAGTCTTATTAATAGTGTCTAAAATAGCAGGTTTGCCCACAAATTCCTTGTTAGAGTGTAGATGTTGTTCAAGGGCGTTCTGTACATCTGCACTGTACTGATTAGTGAAGGCTTCTTCATACTGATCAGTCCATAGTCTTATCCGATTTTCCCATCCCTCAGTTGTATTCTCATCTAAATTCTGTGCCTCAGAAGGAGAATTCTGTAGAGAACAAAGGTCAAGTAGATTAGGAGAGTCCATAAAAGGGACAGGATGGGACGGGAAGGGGTGGGGTGGGGGACTGCCAGGCTAAACATTCGGAGAAAATTAGTTTTCACTTGGCAGTTGGTGTGGCATAAGACCAATGGCCTGGGAAGTCAGGATCTGGCTTCTATCATGGCTTTATTACCAGTAAGCTGGAAGGTTCAGTTTCCTCATTTATAAAGTGAGAAATCAATCTGGATTGCAATTACATCCCATCACTATGATTTTATGACCATCTTTAAATCATAAAAATCAAATTTATCAGAAGAATGACATCAAGTTTGTAAGAAAATCTTCATAAAAATGAACAACAGCGATACTTCAAAATACCCACATTGCTAAAGTTTTCAACACTTATCACACATCAGTGTGCCATTTCAAATCGGTAGTTTTACTACTATCCAGGAGTATGTTTTTGCATGGATTATACAATTAATGTATGTTCACTTAAAAGCTACATGTGACCCCAATAAATATTTAACTCATAATTTTGCCTCCCACAGAAAAAGCTATCATTCAGTATATCTTTCTAGCATGCTATTTATGACATTGCAAAACAGCCACACAACAAAGAGGTACGGTAGGGGAGTGGCATGGGTAGATGCAGTGTAGGAAATGCTTATAATCTGCTACACTTCACTCAGAAAACCACTGCCCTCTATGACAGTACAGTACTGAGGAAACATTTTCACATCTTGGCAACATCTTCCTAAATACTTTTATTTGTGCTTTTGCTATACAAAAGTCTGATATATGTTCTTCTCTATGGTATTCAGGACTTAAGGTGTTATCAGAAAACAAAACAAACACTAATAGTGATGATTTCACACTAGTGATGACTAGAAGGAAGACACTAATACCAAAGCTACTTATAAATCCATGTCGACTTTAAACTTGCAAAAACAGGTATACAAAAATTAAATATGGTTTCCATGGATGAGAGAGAAAACACACCCATTGTAACAATTGGTTTCTTTCATTTCTATGTCACTAGTTTTGATCGACTATTGTCTACCATCCTTCCTTCAAGGAACAGGAAAATGGAAGGAAAACTTAATACCACTGTTTTCCACATTACTCACTAGATTCCAAAAGGATGAACAATAAACAAAAGGATCTAACGAACACCTAAGGCCAACACGCTGAGAATAGAATACTGCCTGCTTGAGGTGGACAGTAGCAGCTGAGCAAAAGAAAAAGTACAAAACTGAAGACTTTAAGGGAGCTTATAAGACTGGGGGAGAAGGCAATGGCACCCCTCTCCAGTACTCTTGCCTGGAAAATCCCATGGATGGAGGAGCCTGGTAGGCTACAGTCCATGGTCTGCTAAGAGTTGGATACAACTGAAGCGCCTTAGCAGCAGCAGTGTAAGACTGGGGATTAGGGGTGCCCCAATAGAATTCCCAGGTTTAAGCATCCAGTAGTGTTCACTAAACTTCTGACTTGTTAAACACTGTATCCTGGAAGCCTGTGCCATAGTTTTAGCTATTGTTCACTAACACAACTCTTGTCTAGTCTGCTATCCTGTTCTTCTGAGTACTGGAGACGCCATCTCAGTGGGTTTAGAGCAAGGGTTCTCAACCAGTGGGGATTTTGCCACCAAGAAGACTTTTGGTAATACCTGAAGTTATTTTTGATTAACATGTGGCTTTGTTGGCACTTAGTAAATGCTAGGGATGATGCTACACAGCCTACTATAATGCAAAAGACAGCTCTGATCCCTACAAGGAATTATTTAGTTCAAAAGTTGTTGGCTCAAGCAGTGTTGAGGTTATAAAGCCCTGGTTTAGACTAGTTTCCAGTAGGGAAATTCAACTTTGGGGTTAAAAAGCCAAATGATAAGATTCATCTCATTGTTATGCTATGGTTCCCACTCAGATCTTTGGTAAGGTTCTTACTAACAATTAATTCTGAGTACAGAATTTATAACTCAGAATTATGAAATGAGAATCAAAATAAACCAGTAATTTTTAATTATTTAAATTTTAACATGCTTATGGAGCTATCTGTCAACATCTCAAAAACTGCAAGCAATATTTGGGGTTAATATGTAGTTTTCTGGGAGAGCCAATCAATAGCTTTCAGAAAGTTCAAACTTCTAGAGGCAAGTTACAATAGCTGATAAAAGAGAAAAGGGTTTAACACCTGGGATCAGGGTTATGTCTGCCCCATAAATCTATTTAAGGTCCCCTCTAAGCAAAGGTCTCCTTACAGGAGAAAGATCCAGCAAAGAAACAGTAACTGTGTTCCAAGACATCCCAGGATTCTGGTGGTCTTGGGCTCCAAGTCCTCTCCCATCTTTTATATAGATATTTAGAAGTCCGTTTATGGGTATATGCAAGGTGAGGCCTTCTAATTTTATACAAAGTGCTACCTGTGATTTTTTAAACGAGTCAATTTGGTGTTCCACATATAAATGTGTATTATATCTATATTTCCTAAGAAAGCTTATCCTCACTATAAGAGTTTAATGTTTACCCTATAATGGTCAATAAAAAAGATTCTGCTTTTATATCATTTACACATCCAGACATAAGAATACTTACAGAACTAAACTAGACCTTAATTCTAATTAAATACTTTGAAGCCGTAAGTAATGGTTTGGGAGGTACGCTGTCCTTCTACATCAACAAATAGGTAAGGGAAGATATCAGACAGTATATTCAAATTTCCTCTGGGCAAACTCTTCATCAGCTGAAAGTTCCTTTAAATATTGCACATAATTTCTCTATTATCCAACCATTATCCGAAATCATGTCTCATAAACTTTTACTTGATAACTAAAGAAAAGAAGTGCGCTAACATCACCTGAGTCCTCTATACCAAGTAGATAGGCCAGGAGAAAATAGTTCAAAAGTAAGTAATTCCAGTAAGAATAATTCTTATCAACACTACTCCTTTCCTACTGATGAAATTTATCCTTCCAACTGGTGATTAAAGTGTACATGATGCTAGAGTTAGTGCACAAGAGATCCCCTATCACCAGAAAAACCTCACTCCTGAGATGGAGGCCAATCAGAATGATGGAAAACATCAACCTCATTTTGTTTGGCAAAATGTCACTTACCCCACACCCCAAGAAAAGCAGCTAATGAAAAACTAGTAAATGAAGCCTGATTACAGAAAGGAAAAAATATTTTAGAAAATGGCCAAGAAAATCCACTTTGGAGAAAGGCTCTATGAAATCTGAATGGCAACAATTAAAAACTAACAAAAAGCAGAGTCCAAGATTCCCAGACCATCAATGTCAGGAAAGAAGCTGACCAAAATGCAAGACCACAGTGAAGTAAAACACAGCATCAGAGAAGAAGACCCCTTACCTTCATCCGCAAGGACTTCCGGGATCCCTCTCGAAATGCCTATCCCAAAGAGGAAAACAAGTAGAACAAAACAAAACTTGGTACCAAGAATGACAGTTATACCTATCTGAGACTTAACTAAGGCAAGAACTAGTGTCCTAGGCTGTCCCCTTTATTCTAGGTAACAAATACAATGGAATTCCCCACACTATTATCAAGAATAGGGGTGGCATAAGGCCAGTGAACTCTGAGGCTAATACCAATACTTTCCACTGTGAAATTAGGTAATTATCAGGGAAGAGCATGCATCACTTAAATCCTATATGCACCCCTGACACTAAAAGAAAAAGTATATAAAAATATTAAGTAAGGCTACAGATTTACCAGTTTGAAATTAAGAAGGAAATAAAGACCAATCCCCTTAACAAGGGGTGGGCAAGTCACCTAGAAGCAACAAAGTTGCTGTGATGGGGAAGAAAGAACACAAAACAGAAGAGGTTTCTTCTGGAGACTTTTTAGTTGAGAATACAGGAAAGTGACCACAACACTGAGTAAGCCTAGACCGTTCAAGAGACGTTTCCTGAATTTTTTGAAACAAGGAAAAAAACAATCAACCAACAACATGAAGTGGGCATGTACCAGCACAAGAATTTCAGACTGGGTTTTGGGATTGAGGAGGCAGGAGATACTTTAAGGACGGTGGAAGTCTAGACTGGAGGCAGCTGTACACACGGACGTGTGCCAGGTGGGGCTGGGATTTCATACCTGGGATGTGGGGTTGGAGTAAAAGAGACTATGTGCCAGTTGTGATGGTATGGAGTGGCAGAAAGAGGTTGATCTGCATGTTTGTAACACAGATTAGCTGATTTTCGCAAACAGAGCAGAAGTGGCCCATCAAACATCTGGATCAAATTTCTTAAAAGAATTTTGGTGTATTCTTCATCCAACATTTGGGCTATTTCAGACATATTTCTATTTAAGATACTTTTACCCTCCATACCTTGATTTTCTTCGTCTTTGGTGCTGCACGACCCTTTTCTGGACTCTTTTTCCGCTTCTTGGGTTTGGTTCTTCTAACAGTTAAGGTGATGCTTGTAGGTGTGTGCTGTGTTGCTGTATACAACACAGTGGAAGGAGAAAGCTCCTCATCCCAGCTTTCTGTTGCACTGCTATCCCCACCTGAAAAAAGGTCAGTTCACAGTTCACAGTGCATAAGAATCCTAAGTACATTAAAAAATAGCTCATTCCTTTAGATCTAGCCCATACTCAGGAAGTCATTACTTCTATTAACTCTATTAGAACATAAATACCACAATCCATATGAAAACAAAATTCTATCTGTATCTTTCTTACTAAGCATACAAACTCTATATGTACTTCCCCCCTTGAACTCGGTCCCTAAGCTCCCTTGCCTTGATGTGTATGTAACACAGAAAAGGATCTGTTCTTAGGTGTGTGTGTGCGCACTCAGAGGGAATATTTTGATTAGTATAGGCCTAAACTGTTGATTCTGGATACAATTAATTCATAACAACAGAATTACAACGGTTTTTGAGAAGACTTCAATGACTTTCCATGAAAAGAGCTGGGGACCATGGGAACTTTCAAGAGGGGTTCTTAGGATGAATATTAAAACCAAAAAATAGTATGTGTCAAAACATGGGCCTAACCCATCTTCGGCTCACCTGATATGTTGTCCTGCTTCCGCCGATGAAGTCTAATAACCTTCCCCCTGCTCATTCCCCTAAAGAGGGAAAACAAACTTAAAGTAGTCCTTTCAACAGCACGCAGCGCATTATCGCACACAAGGGAGAAGTGTCTCTGCATATACTACCCCCTTCCTCCCACCTACCAAATGTTTCCAGGACATTAAATTTCATATCAAATTCAATAGCTTTAAGATCAATCTCTCATTCCTTGTTGTCAGCAATTCTCACCTAGTGCAGAGAATTCGAGCCAAGGAGCACTAAGGAATCATCTACATTAACAAACACAAGAAAGAATACTTTGAGCTTTTCCCTACTAATAAGAAACCCTAATCCCAGTAACCCAGGGTTGGATTTAGATGGAACACGATCTTACCTGCACTTGTCACAGTTGAGAAGGAAGCCATCCTGAGAAAGACCACAAGGACACCAGGAAGGAACAGTCTCTCCTTCAGAGTTCGGGCTGTCTCCACAGCGTTCCTCTACAGGCGACGGCAGGCCATTCAGGTCAGAACGAGGGATGATCGTCTGGACAGGGGGAGAAGCAGGAGGTGTCGGAGGAGGAGGGGCTCCGTAATTATGATCCTGAAAATAAGATTTTTTAAATCAACAGTGTCCAAACACTGGCCCCTCTCTCCCCTAAAGTATGGTACATATGGAAAGAAAGAAGAAAGTAGTACCCTTCGTTTTTTGGCTTCAACCAGGAAAGTGATAAAACAAAATGCCAAGGTCAACTGGGACATAAAAACAAGAACAATGATGCAGGGCTAGACGTCCGCTGGAGGCAGGGAAGTGCAAAAGGGGCAACTTCGTCATGCTGCATATAAACATTTCAAGAAAGTCACAATGTATAAGAATGGATTACACTCCAGGAAGATCACTGCTCTGGAGAGAAATAAATGCATACTCACAGCATAAGGCAGTCCTCGACACCCATGCCTCTGAGTGGTCCCATAATTATGAGTGGAATACACGCTCTTCTCATTAACTGCTGGACTAGCCTCCACAGATTCAGGGCTGCACAAAGGCGAAAAGCAACGCATGATAGCATAACACCTAATCTTTCCTTAAACTAAGACTTAACTTCCCATTCTAACCCCTCCTCTTTCCACAACCACCAGCCACTAGAGCAAGAGAAAGAACTCAGTGAAACAATCTGATCAACATAACTAAGCCTATAAATAACAGTAGGAGTGTTATTAAATGTGAATTTGTGTGTAACATGAAGCCAGTATAGGCAGATGTCTCAAAGCAGGCACCTGGGATACAAGGTGTCCCTAATGACAAACACAAACGTACCAGCTGAGCAGGGAGTTTCCCCTAGAGAAGCCACTCTGGGCTGGTTTAGACTCAGAACTATTCTTCTTAATTGGATCTCTTAATACTTCCATGAAACCTCACATGACATTTGCAGTGAGTGAGATGATGAAAGTGCCTTCTGCACTGCCCCAGGGACCAGGCCCTCTTCCATTCACTACCAAGACAGGATACCCTGAAGAAAGTACAGGTAAAAACAATGGCATCTTATATTTATCATACCTCTCATCTTGATGAACCCCCAAACACCTTCCACATATTAAGAATAATAATTTCTCATCCACCAATGACATGCAAGCATATCAAGGACACAATTATTTAATAGCTGCATGGTAATACCACAGAACTTCAAACTAATCAAAACTGCACTCAGAAGTTTATTCTAGTGACAATAACAGGAGTACTAACTACCATTCTGAATTGTCTATTATTTCCTAGGAGATTTATAGTATTAATTTGTTTACTCTGCAACTACTAAACATGGTAAAGAGCACCCCATTTTTACAGAATGTGAAATTGAGGTGGTGAGATTATATAACTTTACCAAGGTCACACAGTCAATATGTGACTCCAAAGTCTGTGCTCTTTCCACTACACCTTACTAGTTTGGAAACCAGGGTAACTTTCTTCCTTTAAAGAAAATCATGTAAGATCTTAAGTAACCAGGCTTACTGAGAGGCTTGGTTGAGTATCTTTCTGTACCAACACTGAGTGGAAAATAAACTGTTTAAGCACAATTTATTAACATAAAATAATTATAAATGTGTTCTAAGTTAAGAAATTTAATGTAAGCCCTTATTTGATAATAAAGATAGAGGTGGCTAAGGACAAAATTCAAGTTCTGGGGCAAAAAGAACTTTAACTGATTGCTTAAGTAACTGGTTAGGTTTTGGAGAACTCTGAAAGATAATTAAGGAATGCAACTGTTTGACTTTGCAAAACTGAATAATGGATTATCTGTCATTTAAATTAACTAGCAAACTAGCACTAAGATTCACAAATTAGAAACTCCAAAGACACACATAACTCAGCCTTAGTGATGGATCAAAGGGTCTTTTAGGGAATCGAATAATGAATACTGTTTGTTTCACGTAATAAACATCTTTCCTGCTTGGAAATATACATAATATAGGACTTGGTGGGAATAAAGTGTGCAATTCAATGTGGTGCAATGTCAGCTGAGAAGTGAGGGATAAAAGAAAATTCTGAGGTATGTATCCAACTCACCCAGTTATATGCTCCAAAACTGTGAGAAGGGATCTTATAAGTAACAGCAAAGGTAATTTCTAGGTGAAGAAGAACTTTAGACATAGGAAAGTATTCTCTGTTAGTGAAGTGCATGCATTTTATTACTTAAAGAGTGTCTGCAAGATGGGAACTGGGCAGGGGTGGGGGGAATACATCAAGAATGCAGGTCAGTATTCTTGAGAAATAGATGATCTGAATATGGCTCACTGAGAGGCAATCAGCTCTGATTATTAGGAAACAGGTGGAGTTTCCTAAATGAAACCAAAGGCAAACAAGCATTAATAAAATGAAGGTAGAATTTAGTTTCTATGATGGACAGTTAAGAGTAAGTAATAACTTTATACAGCATTGTTAATTTACTACATAAAAGTATTTCAAAGAGCTGTACATATTTTATGTAAGAGATTTTGTACCACTGAACACATGGGGTGAAATATGACAGCTGTTTATTAGAGATGGATTTTTTTTTTTGGACGGGAAAAAAGAAAGTGGCATGAGATAAAAGATGGCCATGGAGATGGAGCTATGCTGGTTGTATCTTACCCATCTCCAAACTGGGTAAATATGAACATATGCACTTCATGTGCAAGTCTAGGGAATAAAAATAAAATGTATATTGTGTAGGTTAAAAGGCCATCCCACTGTCATAATACTTTGTAGTTAAGCATAGCATTTAATATATTATTTATGTGTGACAAATACTAAAATTTAAGCTCATATCTTTTGATGAGGAAACTTTGCAATTTCCATACTAGTTACAGATTAAATGCATAATTACATGTTGATAGGTAACTACAGGACTTCCTAGGCTATTCCTTGACATATACACATATACCAGATTGTCTCTATCTTTTAAAATACTGATAAAGAATTTGGAGTATTAGGTTTGCATCTCTTTATTAGCCAATTATTTTATGCAAATGTAATTGTAGCCTTTCTTCCCCTATGTTTAACCTTCTATGACAGCTGGGCACATACACAGAAGCCATGCTCACAACAGATATACTCCATCAATTGTGTTTTAAGTACAATGTGCAACCTGCTGTTGCAACACTACCTCTGAAATTCATTTATGGCAGGACAGTAAACTCTGAAAAGTCTTTCCTTCTATTGTTACATCTAGAGGTTTTCCTACAAATATACAAACAAAAAAAGAAAAACAAAAACAAACCATAATGTACACCATTGCCATCAGATTTAAAATCCCATAAAGTAAGGTCTAGGTCTTTTTACCTAGTTGAGTATATTGCCCTTAATACCAGGTTTAATCTCAGAGTGCCCAAAACAGTGGAATATGCGTGAGAGTGACATACGCATAATGAAGCATTAACAAATATCATCAACAATTTAACAGAATGGTATGTAAGCTAATTGTTGACATTCTCTTGCCTTGTAGGGATACAAAATGAAAAATTGAAAAATTAGCTATGACTACAGTAGTGGAAATCTGTCTGGAGATCATAGATGAAAATGTTTCACGAGATAGAAACACTGCAGTCAAATTTTTAGGCCAGAAATATTTTTTGATTCTGTAATTATTTCTGGACTCCCTAAGCAACAGTTATGGGTAGTCACCTCTGTACCCTGGGAAAAACACATGTTTTAAGAATAATTGTTTTAGGTCTTTTTCTTAGCTACTAATCCCAATCTTGTTGAGTTAATCAACATTGAATTTTTTGTTGTTGAAATTTCTCACAAATGTTAGAGCTGTCTACCTATACAGTTTGTTAGTCATTCCATATAGGAGACTAGTGGTTGACTTTACACAAATCCATTAACATTATACAATTACCTACGGATGCAGTTAAGTTTTTAAGTACTTTGTCTGGGAAACAGTTATAAAATTGGAAGCTTCAGCTATTGGTGTAACTAAATCTCTTTGGCATGCAAAAAAATAAAAACAAAACAAAACAGGAAAAAGGGCTCTGGAAGTAACACAATCCACCCTTTTCCACCCCCCACCCTCCATCTTCTTTTTTATATGGGAATAAGGCCAAAAACTGCTTTCAATTACAGACTACCCCAGAATATAACAGATTGCCTCTTAGGGTAGTTTCATTTTAAGTCTTCCTCTTTAAGGAAGTCATCAAACAGTTATTCTAGGTGGCTTTGTGAAGAAATACACATGCTCTTTACTAATATTCTCAGTTTTTAGGAAGAAAACCACTATTATCAGGGATGCAGTTGAACCCAGAGTTTTGGAACAGTTTCTTTACTTTGCTGAAGGGGAAAGAATCCCCAGGGACTGTGAAAATGGCAAGAGAAACAGGGGAATTAGAGCAACACCCACCTCACTCAAGAAGTGGCTGTGGGATCAAGAGTCTGAACTGGACCTGAACATATTCAAAACACCAGGATTTTTCCAGCCCAGACCCTAATCCCTGGTACTGCCTGGAATAGACTTGGCTTCTGGGGGTGTGCTGCCCCCTAGGCCCCTTGGGTCTCTTTCGCTGGACTTTCACATCCTGGTGTAGTGCCACTTCGTCTTGAAAGGTAGGGGGCTTCCACTTCCTTTCTGTAAGCAAGGAAGATTGGGTACAAGGGAGGTAAAAGGACAAGAGGGGGAATCTGTGAGCAGGGGGAATCTCGGACAACTTAAAAGAGAAGGGATACAAAAGGCTAAAAATTTTAAAACTGTGAATAATATATAAAGTTTTATAATGAAGGCCTACCTTCATTGCCATTTGGCATTTAAATTCTTCAAGAATTGAGAGTCTATTTTAGGGATTGGACTTTTCGACAAATTCTGAATTCCTAAAGCTGCTCTTAGCTGAAAAAAAAGTTTGGTACCACTGATTTTGAAGGTCCTCTTTCTAGGCAATGAATATTATAAAAAGCAGGTGACACTACTTTCCACATTTTCTATCCCAAATATCAGAAGGTCTAAGTAACCTGCCCATACAGTAGCAGCCCCTTTACTCTAGAACAATGAGAAGTACATAGGAAGAGGCCTTCAAGGAAAATCAGTAGGAAAAAACTCCTCCTTATCCTCCATTCATCAGATAATCATTAACTCTACAGAAGCAGGTAGTGACACCTACTTATTTCAATCTTCCTTACCCATCAGAACAAATGAAAATAATCACTATCTTGAAAATTTAATTCTATTAATTATTTACTTAGAAATACCTACCCCCTCCCAAATTCTTTTCCTCCCCCTTCTAATTCTTTTTTGCCTCCAGCTTCTACAGGGGAAAGGGAACAGTCTAATGTCATTTATAATGGGCTAGGCTTGGGTGTAGAAAATACTACATATTTACTATTAGATGCCCATAAGAAATTTGTCTCGATACAAACTGGTAATGTACCTACTACCTAGGAAGCAGCACTTACTCTGATCCAGCAGCCATATCTGAGTAGGATGTATCTGGTGTGGTGACTCCCAGAGGGATTGCAATGCTCATGACGTCCAACACAGCAGAGAGTGGAAATCACGGGGTCCAATTATTGGAGACTGGCCACTCTGAGAGTGGGGGTGAGCTGCAGAGCCTCAACCAACATGTTATGGACATGAGGAATCCTAGCACAGAAAATGAAAATATCTAGTAACCAGATAGTTTTTTAAATTTAATGCAAATGCTAATGAATATTTTTCTATTTTTTCTGAATGAAGTTTTTAAGGGATAGATATAAAGTGCAAGGAATCAGCATTGTCCGTGTTTACTATGCTCTGCACTAATGTTCCACAAACTGAGGTAACAAAAATTATGCTCTCTTCATTTCTATTTTCATTTTTTTATTTTCAGATAAAGGAAAAAGTTATAGTCTGCTCATCAATGAGCACGTTTCTCCCATTCCACAACTGCTTATCGAACAAGATGTTCTAGGACCTAACTAATGAGTTTTAAGTCAGATAATGGTCAAAAGAATTAACACAGTTTAATGTTATTCCTTCCAAATTAAATAGATAAAAGTGATCAATCTATTTGACTGAAAATAGCTGCTTTTTATTGCCTTCTTTTAATATAGAATACCCTTTTACTACTTTTAAACTTTTTTAATAACTGTAATTTGGGGAGAAGATGTAATGATTAATCATATTTGTAAGGTGATATCCACTGCTACGTATGAATAAAAACATAAAACACGAAGTGTACAGTTTCATGATAAAAATTAGAAAACAGTGCATGGAAAAGCAGTGAGGATACCTTGAGTTGGTGACCACAGCCAGTGGAATTTGGGAACAGAAAGACAAACTCAGTAACATAAACAAACAAAAGTAGATTAAGAGACTTGGAAGTATGGTGCAAAGGGAAAAAAGTGTACTCTGATTTTTAATTACTGATTTTAGAGCTTTGTTAAAAAAAAATAAATCATTAAAAGAATGGAACAAGAAGTATTTTACGTGGGAGGAAAGAAATTCAATGTGATTGTTAAGGTTCAGATTAACAAAGGTTTTTGCAAAAAAGAAAAAAAAACTACAGTAAGAAGTCATGATTGATATACTGATTCATGATAAGACAAATAACACAGTAGAAAATGATTATTTACACTAAAAAATTAAATCAAATGAAAAGAAACAGCATATTAACTGAGTCAATCCAGGAGATTAATACAAATTTTAAAATGATATTATCCGAGTTGCTTGACTCTTATTTTGAAATATGAAGCAAATTAATGTGTAAAAGAAAACCAATCAGGCCAAGATTTTTAAGAACACATAAAAATAATATCCCTCTTTTATATCATTATTTTAAAGCGCTACAACAGCTGTAAACTAAGTAGTCCTCCCTGGCATTGACACTTGGAAGAGCTGATCTCACCAATGGACCTAGGACTCTCCAAAATCTGGGTGTGGCAATACACTTGCTCCTACTCAACTTGGGGTGACATATTCGACTTGAGACTGAAATGAAAAAGGAAGATCTTCCTATCTATTGTCCTTATAGCTTGTAAAAAAAAAAAGTCACTAGCATAACTTTCTGCTTTTGGGCCCATCCTACACATAAATGTTTCTTTTCCCTAACAATATATTCAAACAGAGTAGATCTGTATACCCTCTGAGCCTCTGGGAAACTGAAATAAAATCTACAAAAAACAGAAGAGAGAATACTTATCAAATAAGCCCAAAAGGGCATTTTTGAACTTTGGGAGCTGTTGGTTACAACTCTTTCTCTATTTGATATCATGGTATAATTCTCAAATTAAACAAAAATAAAAAATACAAAGGCTACTTAAGTTAATAACCAGAACACAATCTAATAATCATACTACCCTTGACCAATACTGGAATCCAAATCACGAGTTACACTTCAGTAAAGAACCCAACCCCCAGTTACTCAACACCACTAAAAAATCCTGTGATAGCCATTACTGTTACATAACCATAAAAAAATGCAGGTGTCTAGATAAAAGAAAACTTTTTTGTAATTTTACATGACCACTTCCACTCTTTTGATGAAGGCATTTTAGATTAGCATGGTTATCTTGCTTCAAGTAACACTTTTATAGTATTGGGCCTTTTTAATAACAAAAAAGATGGCAAAACCAAATTTCTCATATAACCCTGAGCCTAGTTCCTCTTCTAAATAACATGTAAAATGTAGCTATTAAAATGTTAACTGAATAACTTCTAACATTATCTATATGCAATATGTAATTATAGTTACTCTAGTTTTACGACATAAGACAACAGGCTCCTACTACGTTTACAAAGCTTAGTAGTGGTAGCAGTTACTAACTTATCACAGAGTTTGGAGATATGTCCTAGAAAGAGTGCTAAGAATTAACATCTCTTGGTGGGACAGTTTTAAGATTTCTTTTACTTGTTAATTTGTCTCTATTCCTACCAAAATATAAACTCAATTAGGACAAGGATTTCTGTGCTTTATCCTCTGCTATAGTTCCAAAGTCTAGAACAAGTATTTGAGAATATTTCCTGGCACAAAGATTTTTGAGAATATTTGCTGAATAAATTATGATCACCATTATATAAAAATTAAAGTTTTAGTATTCATTAAAGTGCAAAAGTTAAAACAAAGGAATTTACTTGGCTCAATCACCTTTTTATAGACCTCTGAATATGAAGTCCCCCAAAATTATCTGCCAGTAGCTGTGAAGACCTAGAAAAAGTTGAGAAACGAATTAGTATAGATAGAAATAACAAAGATGGACACACAGCATGGAATTCTAGATAAATAATATTTTAATGGCAATTTTGTTTCACTTCTGTATTCTGCCTTGTTTACCATACTATGTTCCATTTAGTACTTTATCTTTGTCCTTTAACCTTCTTACATTATTTTCTGGTAAACCTAGAACCTACATAAAAGGTAGAAAAGGCAATTGTCTTTGAGTTAAGAAGTGGTAAGTACTGTCTCTGGGTGATCCTTTTCTTCCCATCCAATTAGAATTCCCTTCCATTTCCCAAAGGATTCGTTCTTTTTCTGAGAAGGTGCTTCTCTCCCGACCCATTCCTAAATTCAGAGGCTTTTCTTTAATCAAGTTCATGTAATTCTCCAGTCAGACAAGGACTCACCATCATCTATTAATGCTCATATTACTCTTTTCTTCCCCCAACACATCTCTCCATCCTCTTATCCTACTACAGAAAGAATGACAAGAGTCAATTTCTCAACTACACAATGGAAGACATGTAGAAAATAGAGCTTTAATTTGCTTTCTACATTCTAAAAGGAAAAGGAAAACGGGTGATGACCCATGATTTTGGGGAGGGGGACAAAGTCAATTTAACAGTAGCCTGAAAAGGGTATCAATATCTGAAGTGTTAATATATATGTGAAAATACTTGTTTGAGGGATTCCAGTACCAAGCAGTAGAGTAAAAGTTCTTTATGCTGATATCTTATGGATTTCTAACTTTATTAAAAACTAGAAAATAAACTATTTCTTTAGAAACCATTTAAGAAGACCATACTCAGAACTATACAAATCAAAGGCATGAGGGTGAAGTTAAGTGAAGTCGCTCAGTCGTGTCCAACTCTTTGCAATCCCATGGACTGTAGTCTGTCACGCTCCTCCGTCCATGGGATTTTCTAGGCAAGAGTACTGGAGTGGGTTACCATTTCCTTCTCCAAAGGATCTTCCTGACCCACGGATTGAACCCACGTCTCCCACATTGTAGGCAGATGCTTTACCATCTAAGCCACCAGGGAAGTCATAAAAATGAAAGGCATAAGGGTAACAGTAAACAAAAGGAAGAAATTACATCAAGGAAGAAAAACACTCCTTTAGCAACAACAAATAAAAAAGAAAAAAAATGACAGGAGTAAAAACAGAAATAAATACATGAGTATACAGCAGGGGGAAAATGAATGCTTTGGAATTTCAATTTAACTACAATCAGAACACTCCACCAGAACCCCCAGGAACAGTAATAAATTCTTAGACTCAAACACAACCAGCTTGTCTCCCAGTCCTGAGTACTCTTTGAGAAGTCACCATTTATTGATACATACATAGTATGTATGTATGTATTTCCTTAAATACATAGTTTTTAAGGAAAAGGCTATTAAGAACATGCCAGAAATGGTTTATAATTACTCCTGTCTTTTTAATTGGGTTCAGAAATGGTCAATAGTCTCTGTATTTGTCATTCTGACAGTCTCTTCTCTACATGACTTGCTGAAAGCACAAGACCCGTGTGATCTGTCAGGTCACTCTCAGAGAAGACAGACAATAAGTGTTTTAAGAACAACTCCAACAGAGATTTCAGAAAAAGAAATTGCATCAGCCAGGTGAGCCGGAAGCAGCTGGGAGACAAGAGTCCAATAAACAGCCAATCCGATGAAAGAAATTCAGAACAAGTCTGCTTCAGTAATCCTGTGAAGAGGACTGGCAGGAAGAGGAGTGCCGCTTCAGAAAAAGAACAGGCCTCATATGCTTCAGACAGTCTTTGTACTGTGGCTGTGGACCTTGGCCATTCTCCCAGAAATGATGCAATCCTGATGAACAAGATCTGCTGCCAGAGAAACAATTGTTAACAGCCTATGCAGACAGAAACTTAGCCAAGAAGCAGCCTCTGATCAGCTCTCTCCACAAACCACCAGAAAGTCAAATTTCTTCCTAAATTTTGGTCTCTGACAAAGCACGTAAATGAATATATATTTAGACATATACAAGCACGCCATTTTCTCAGTGTCCCTTTTTAATTCCTCTGGCTTTATAGTATCTATCCTCTGTCATTCAATGTGAAATAAAACATTGAGACTGCTTTTATTTTATGAATTCTCATGTTACCAGCAAGGTACTTACTTACATTGAAATTTTACACCTTTTCCCTTCATTCTCATAAATATAGGTTCTGAGCTATAGTGGCTTTCCTAAGTTTTAAAATCACTCTGAAATCTAGGGCCCAATTATGAGATTTCAAAGTAAAGATAAATTATGCACAATGACTAACTAAGGGCCAGAAAGGTGTATTTTATAGGTATTTTTGAAATTGT